ATGAGGCACAGATGGGGGTTAAGGAGGAGGAGGAGGGCTTGCTTGGCTGGAATGTTTGACTTCCTGTGCCCCCACAAACCGCAGGGATCTGAGGGGGGCTGGGATGTGGGGGAAGGCAGAGGGGGACCCGGTAGCAAAGTGGACAGCGCTCTTCACTGTCCATGGTGCTGACGCGCCCAAACTTGAGTCCCCTGGAGAGTTGGGTAGAGCTTTGGCTGGAAGAGGGTCTGGCGGACGGGGGGCTGGACCCCCACCTTTCATGTGATGGCAGACCAAAGCAAAGAACCAGGACAACTGTGACGAAATAATCAGCCTAGACACAGTGAGGGCTAGCAAAATGACTCCAAACAGGCTGAGCCTGGGGCCAGAGAGTTAGTACCTAGGGAGGGCATTTGCTTTGCGCGTGGTTGATTTAGGTGCAATCTTCAGCACCCCAGATGGTCCCCTGAGCCCCGCCTGGAATGATCCTGAGCTCTAAGTAGTTCCTGAGCATCTCCACTCCTCCAAATTTTTGTTTGTGGGGCCAGAGCAATAGCACAGTGGGTAGGGCGTTTGTCTTGCATGCAGCCAACCTGGGTTCGATTCCCAGCATCCCGTATGGTCCCCTGAGCACTGTCAGGGGTGATTCCTGAATGAAGAGCCAGGAGTAACCCGTGCGCATCGCCGGGTGTAACCCAAAAAGAAAAAAAGAATTGTTTGTTTGTGGACCACACCAGTGGTGCTGTTGTCTTTTTCCTGGCTCTGTACTCAGGAACCACTCCTGGAGGGTTCGTGAAGGAGTTTTGAGCAAAGAAATCAGGTAACTTTCTCAGGATGTCCACATGCTAATCCCAGAAAATCTACCAAGCTGTCAACCTACAGGACCAAAACAAGGGACTTTGCCACTAACGGTGATTAAAAGGAGGCTCTGGGCAGGGGAGATTATCCGGGATGATCCGAGAAGGCTGTGTCATTGCAGTGATCCCTGCTGATGAGGGGCAAGTGGCTGAGAGCAGTACAAGAACCAGGAACGATGGTCCTAGAGGACAGAGGCATGGGGTAGCGAGAAACGCCCAATCACGGCTGCTCTGGGAGGTGGAGGAAGAACCAGGACTACAGACTGTGGTTGCCTGTCCAAGTTGCAAAGGACCAAAGCATGTTCCCTTGGGCCAGAGTGATAGCACAGCGGGGAGGGCTCTGGGCTTTCACAGGAGCAATCCCTGAGCACAGGGCCAGGAGTAACCCATGAGCACTGCTGGGTGTGACCCAAAAACAATAACAACAATGATCACGATCACGACCATCCTGTTGTTCATCGATTGCCTCGAGCAGGACCCAGTAACGTCTCCTTTGTCCTAGCCCTGAGATATTTTTTTAAAAGTGCCATATTCAAGGCTCTTTCAGGGTTAGGAGAATGAGACCCATCATTGTTACTGGTATTTGGCATATTGGGTATGCCACGGGGAGTTTGCCAGACTCTGCCGTGTGGGCAGGTTACATTCGGTAGCCTGTCATTTTGTCCAAAGTAAGAATGAGTTAATAAGATGTCATGCGGCCACAAATGCGGCCACGCGCTTCCGGGAGCTGGGTTTTATAGTCTCTGGGTCTTGGCCGTTGATGGGATTCCACGGCCATCAACAACAACAATAATAGTAACAACAACAACAACAAAGAAGGAGTTGCATTCTAGAGGCTCCAGAAAAAATCTCAACCTCGAAGATGCTCAGATTTTAGCTCTGATTCTGTTTTTGTTGTTGTTGTTGTTTTGTTTTGTTTTGAGGGGATCCACACACCCACACTCAGTGCTCAGCAGCTACTCCTGTCTTGTTATTCAGGGGCCGTTCCTGAGGCGTTCAGGGGACCATGGGTTGTTGGACATCAACTCAGGGTTTTACGCATGCAAAGCATGTGCTCCTGACCATTGAACCATCTCCCTAGCTCTCTGTCTCCCTTTCTGTTGATTTCATTAGGTTTTCCTTTGCTACACCCCCAGTGGTGCTCAGGGGATGCTCCTAGCTCTGTGCTCAGGAGAGTTGCTACTGGGAGTACTGGGGGAATCATAGGGTACTGGGATTCTGGGGATCAAACCTGGCCCTCACAAAGCATGTACGCAGTCTGTGGGGCTCTCTGGGTCTTCGTTAAAAACAACAAAAGAAACAGGGGCCAGAGCGATAGTACAGCGGGAAGGGTACTTGTCTTGCACACGAACAACTGGGTTCGATTCCCAGCATCCCACGGGGTTCCCTGAGCACCACCAGGAGTGATTCCTGAGCACAAAGCCCGGAGTAAGCTCTAAGCACCACCAGATGTGCCATCCTCATAAAAAAAAAACAGCCCCAAATCCAATAAGTCACGTGCTGCAGAGACATCAGTGCTCATTTTGTGCTCCCCAACCTGACTTCAATCCCTGGCACCCCATATAATCCCTTGATCCCTGCCAAGAGTGATCCTTGAGCACTGAGCCAGGAGTCGCTCTGAGCACTGCCACGCCTGACCCCAAAACTGCTTTGTCGTTGTTATTTTTTTTTGACCACATCGGCAGTGCTCAGGGCTAATCTTGGCTCTGCCCAAGAGTGACTCATGGTGGAGACTGGGGTGTCGGAGAGAAAATCCAGATTGGCTGCATGCAAGGAAAAGTGCCCTAAATCCCAGGACAGTCTCTCCAGCCCCATAAGACAGTGCACTGACCCCCCTCCATCCTTTCCTTTGTTTTTGCGGCTCTGGACAGGGGTTGCAGACTTGTTTGTGATACTCCCTAGGCAGGGAGGTGTCACAGTTTGGTGGTGGCACCAGGAATTCCCAAGAGCGGTGCCATCCGGATCTCATTCCGTATGTGGGCCGGTGCCAGGGATCGAACTCAAGGCCTCGCGCCTGCAAGCAAATTGAGCCCCATCCTCAGCTGCCAGGTCTGACTTCGGGCTGTACAGAAATGTAAACCCGGACTGCATGAAGCCTCCAAGATTAGGTCATGATGTCCAGAAGCAGCAGGAATTGGGACAAGAGCCAAGGCTGAGGGCAGGCGGATGTCCTGCTCCTGAAATCGAGGAATTTCGAGAGAGGGGGGGCTTGGGTCCAGGGCTTGACTCCAGCCTGGGCTCTCACTGTCTCCCCAAGCTGGAGCACTTCCCAGAGGGGTCAGGCTGGAGGGTGCCCTCCACACCCGCAGTGTGAATCCCTTCCTTGGGGCCCACGGATGTTCAGGGGTCACTGGGATGCTGGGGATTGAACCTGGGCCGGCAGCGCGTGCAAGGCCAGTGCCCTCCCCGCTGTGCTAAGGTTGCGGCCCTCAGTGTGAATCTTGCCAAGGAAACTGGACCACAAGAGGGCTCACAGGGCCGCGGCATGGGCTGGAGCGGTAGCACAGCGGGTAGGGCGTTTGCCTTGCACGTGGCCGACCCCGGTTCGATTCCCAGCATCCCATCTGGTCCGCTGAGCACCGCCAGGAGGAATTCCTGAGTGCTTGAGCCAGGAGTAACCCCAGTGCATCGCTGGGTGTGACCCAAAAAGGAAAAAAAAAAAAAGCCTGCGGCACAGGCTCTGCCTGAGAGAACCTCGAGTTTGAGGCCTCCCTTCACATGGTCCCCTGAGCATCACCAGGGGTGACTCCCAAGCACTGGGCTGAGAATAATCCCCGAGTACCGCGGGGTGTGGCCCCCAAACTGAACCAAAATGCCAAAAGAGACTGCCATTCCCCAGGCCTGGGCGCCCTCATCCTCATCACCCCCACCTTACCCCTTCCTTCATTTCTTCCTCCCCCCACCTTTATTTACTTATTTATTTGCTTTTTGGGTCACACCCGGCGATGCAGAGGAGTTACTCCTGGCTCTGCATTCAGGAATTACTCCTGGCGGTGCTCAGGGGACAATATGGGATGCTGGGAATCGAACCCGGGTCGGCCGCGTGCAAGGCAAATGCCCTACCCTCTGTGCTATTGCTCCAGCCCCTCCCCCCCACAAAGATTTCCTCCCTGCCTCCTTCCCTCCCTCCTTTCTTCTTTCCTTTATAGTTTATGGGCCGCACCCGGCGGTGCTCAGGGCTAACTACCAACTCGGATCACTCCAGGCGGGTGCCAGGGATCGATCTCATCTTGGCAGCGAGCTGCAAGGCTGCTCCATTATCTCCAGGTTCTTTCCTTTTTAATTGCTTTCTGGCCCACACCTGACAGTGCTCAGGGCACCTTATTCAGTGCCAGGAATCAAATTAGGACTGGCTACCTACAGGGCAAATCTTAATTCCCCTACAATCTCTCCAGACCCTGGCCCTAGATTCATTTTATTTTGGACGGAGGGGCTCAACCAGTGGTGCTCAGGACTTACTCCTGACTCTGAACTCAGGAAGGACTCCTGGCAGTCCTGGCGGGACCCTGCGGGGTGCTGGGATCAGATGGGGCTGGCAGCTGGTAAGGCAAGTGCCATCTCTACTGTACCATCATTATGGCCCTTCAGGTTTTATTTATTTTGCTTTTTGGGTCACACCCGGCGATGCTCAGGGGTTCCTCCTGGCTTTGCACTCAGGAATCGACTCCTGGCGGTGCTCAGGGGACCATATGGGATGCTGGGAATCGAACCCAGGTCGGCCGCATGCCAGGCAAACGCCCTACCCGCTGTGCTATTGCTCCAGTCCCAGGTTTTTTTTTTTTTCCCGTCCGGGGAAAGCTCCCAAGCAATGCACAAGGGGCGTGGGGAGCTCTCTCCGGGCTAAGCAGACAAGAGGGTTCAGAGCTGTGCTGCTCTGTGTATGCTGGTGTGTGTTGGGGGGGGGGGAGTGAGGAGTGCCCAGGGCGACAGGTGCTGGTGCTCAAAGGCGCGCACTGGGGGAACTTGGCGCGCATCCTTGTGGATGCAGAGCCCAATGCCAAAGAGTGGTGGGAACCAGTCAGGAGAATGAGGGGTGCCAGGTGGGGCCAGCAGCGCTCGGGGCACGGGGGAGGGAGGGGTTGGTGGCTGCCGAGCAGCCCGTGGGAGGAGCTGGGGCCCAGCGGTGCACCCCCAAGATCACGAGAGAGAGGCCACTTCCAAGAGGGCAACTTTATTGGGAGGACCCAAGGTCTCAGTGCAATGTCCTTTTAGTAAGGGGACCCCACGAGGGTCGCAGGTAGAGCAGCAGGCAGCGGGGGGCGCGCGCCACCCCAGAGAGGCCTTCCCCCAGCCCTGCCCCAGGGGCGTGCGCGGGCAGGGTGGGAGTCGGGGGCCAGTGTTAGGTCCTTAGGCTTCAGCCGTCGAACTGGGCACGTCGGAGGGCGCACAGCGCCGTTGGCGCAGAACAGACTTCTCCTCTTCCTGTGGGCACGGGCCAGAGTTGAGCGCGTGTCACCCCTGTCCGCCACCCCGCCCCGCTTCCCCCCAGGACCCCTCAGTTCTCACCTTCTCCGAGGCGGTGCTGGGGCTCGCGCCCTCGGGGGACCCGCCCTCGTCCCGCGAACAGTCGGGGCCCGCATCCTCCTCGTACTCCGTCAAGCAGTCCGACTCCTCCCCTGCGGATGCAGGGGGCGCAGGCAGGTGAGGAGGGTGGGGGTGGGGGTTCCCCTCTATCTAGCCAAGCTCCCCGGGATCGCCTCCCCACACCCCTCCCTGGTCCGCCCCTCACCGTCGGCGCAGCCGTCGGACACGTAGCTCGTGGGAGGCTCAATGCGGGACACGATCTCAGCCAGGTCGGTGAAGCCGGAGCTGGGGAAGGCCAGGAGCTGGGGGGAGGGGCGAGGGAGACGCATGGGGAGGGGGTCTCGGGACTGAGGTCTTGGGGGGAGCTCAGGGAGCCCCAGGGGGTTTGCAGAGGCAGGGGGGTTTGCAGAAGCAGGGGGGTTTGCAGAAGCAGGGAGGTTGCAGAAGCAGGGGGGTTTGCAGAAGCAGGGGGGTTTGCAGAAGCAGGGAAGGGAGTGAGATGGGGATGTGCAGGGGGTGGGACCTGCAGCCCCGTGGCCGGCCACCAGGGGGCGCGCGCTTACGTCGGTGCGCCGGCTCTCCTGCAGGTCCGCGGAGCGCCGGTCTCTGAGCATCTTCTCAATGATGTCGCCCCGGCTCCAGCCCCCGAACACCGCCTTCCCGTACTGGTAGCCCACATCCTGCGGGAGACCCAAGAGGGGATGTAGGGTCTGCCTGTGCCCGACCAGGGTTCAATCCCCGGCATCCCACAGCAGGGTCCCCTGAGCCCTGCCAGGAGAGATTCCGGAGTGCAGAGCCAGGAGGAAACCCTTATGCATCGCTGGGTGTGACCCCAAAAAAGGGAAAAAAAAAAGAAAAAGAGAGAGCTCCAGGTTTTATCCTCCACATGACCCTCTCCTCCCCCCCAGCACCTCAAAACATCATCCTGGGGGTGGGAGGGATACTGGGATCCGTGGTGGTGGGAAATGGGCACTGGTGGAGGGATGGGTACTAGATCATTGTATAACTGAAACCCAAGCACAGAAATTTGTAATTCTACAACTGTACCTCACGGTGTTTCACTAATAAAAATTTAAAAAAATTTTAAAAAGAATATGCATATATAAACCAGTCTTAACCAAAAGGAGAGAGAACAAAAGGGAATGCCCTGCCACAGAGGCAGGGTGGGAGGGATACTGGGATCCGTGGTGGTGGGAAATGGGCACTGGTGGAGGGATGGGTACTTGATCATTGTATAACTGAAACCCAAGCACAGAAATTTGTAAGTCTACAACTGTACCTCATGGTGTTTCACTTAAAAAAAAAAAATCATCCTATGTGAATCCCTACAGAGAGAGCACCTGCAAAGCTGCTATCCCTATAGACGCGTCTGATCGGTCGTTACTGTATCTGCCCTCCACGATGGGTGCTCCTCTGGGAAGGGATCCCCGGGACCCTCTGACCCCACTCTGGCCCGGGGCCGGTCCCATGGGCTCACATAGATCTGGTCGAACTTCCCGAAGTCCATGGTCTTGAAGCAGTCGATGGGCGGCCGCAGGTACTCGCAGTAGGAGCTGGACTTGACCACCTCTAGCTGCCGGACGCAGGACACGTAGGCCAGGCGGGACTGGATCTCCGCCATGTCGGGCACCTTGATCTTGTCGGCCCAGGGGTTCAGCCGCTTCCACAGCAGCCACCAGCCCGACAGGCTGTCCCCGTAGGTGCTGAGGTCCGTCTCGTCCTGGCTCCCCACGTCGATGGCGATGACCGTCTTGGCGCCCATGCTGCGGGCGATATCCGCTGTGGGGCCAGGGCATGGTCAGCATCTGGCCCCCCGCTTCCCCCCCTCACCCCCAGGCGGGTTGAGCCAGTTCCACCGGACTCCACAGACACTGGTATGGGGATGGTCACATGCGCGCGCACACACACACACACACACACACACACACACACACATAGACATAGACATACACAGATACAGGAAAACAAACAGACATGCAAACACCATGTGAACATGGGAATGGCACAGAAGTGGAAATCCAGGATGGGTTTGGGGGGGATGGGGAACTTTGGGGGTTCGGGCTCTGAGGGATGGAGGAGATGCAGGCTGAGGGGCGAAGCTGCCAGGACAAAAGGGAAGGGCGGAGGCCAGAGTGAGATAGCACAGCGGGGAGGGCGTTTGCCTTGCACGCGGCCGACCCGGGTTCGACTCCCAGCATCCCATAGGGTCCCCCAGAGCGCCGCTAGGAGTAATTCCTGAGTGCAAAGCCAGGAGGAACCCCTGTGCATCGCTGGGTGTGACCCAGAGAGAAAAAAAATATGATAAACCAATAAAATCAAGAATAGGTTATGGAGACTTTTTAACTGTACACAGAAGTATAAATCCAGCACGTTTAAAACATTCATGGAGGGGCCGGAGCGATGGCACAACAGGGAGGGCGTTTGCCTTGCACGCAGCCGACCCGGGTTCGATTCCCAGCATCCCATGTGGTCCCCTGAGCACCGCCAGGGGTGATTTCTGAGTGCAGAGCCAGGAATAACCCCTGTGCATCGCTGGGTGTGACCCAAAAAGAAAAAAAATATTTTAGGGGCTGAAGTGATAGCACAGCGGGTAGGGCATTTGCCTTGCACGCGGCCAACCCAGGTTCGATTCCCAGCATCCCATGTGGTCCCCTGAGCACCGCCAGGGGTGATTCCTGAGTGAAGAGCCAGGAGGAACCCCTGTGCATCGCTGGGTGTGATCCAGAAAGCAAAATAAATAAAATAAAATAAAATAAAATATTCATGGAGGGGCCGGAGCGATAGCACAACAGGGAGGGCGTTTGTCTTGCACGCGGCCGACCCGGGTTTGATTCCCAGCATCCCATAGGGTCCTCCAAGCACCACCAGGTGTAACCCCTGAGCATCGCTGGGTATGACCCAAAAAGGAAAATAAAAAAAAAACAGGGAAGGGTGGACACGTGAGGAAGAAGCAATGGCAATGTGGACAGAACCAGCAGATGGGGTACAGGAGTGAGAGCAGAGCACCAGAAGCACAGGAAGAGGGGACCGAGGACGGGGACAGCAAGGAAGGTTGCGCCTTGACTGTGACTGATCCAGGTTCGATCCCTGGCACTGCCCAGTACCCTGAGTGCCAGCCAGAGTGACCCCTGTGCATTGCTGGGTGCGGCTGAAACTCCTCCTCCCCCCCACTCCCCCCCACCAAATGAACAGGAGCCGGAGCGACAGCACAGCAGGGAGGGTGCTGGCCTTACATGTGATTCGATCCCCGGCGTCCCAAAGGGTCCCCTGAACCTGTCAGGAATGATCCCTGAGCGCAAAGCCAGGAGGAAACTCAGTGCGGCTGACGTGTGCCCCAACCCGATCCCCCCCCCAAAAAAAAAAATCAACCCACAGAAACAGACCCAGAAACTGAGAGTCGGAGAGTCAGGGAAGAGTTCGGGAAGGGAAAACAGATTGGGGAACAAAGATGAGGTAATAGAAGGTTCTAGGTGGTAGGGCCCGAGCCATAGGACAGCGGGGAGTGCATTTGCTTTGCACGTGGCTGACTCCCGACCCCCCAGCATCCCATAGGGCCCCCCTGAGCACCACCAGGAGTAATTCCTGAATGCAGAGCCTGGAGGAGCCCCTGAGCACTGCCAGATGTGACCCAAAAAAGTCGCCCACCCCCCCAAAAAAATAATTTGGGTGGAAATGGTGTAGTGTAGGAAGAGGAAGGATGGGGGCGGGGGGCTGAGGGGAGATAGTTCCAATGAAGGGTGTGTTCCTGCTGGCTCCATAGAGGAACTTGGGGTGCCCGGTGCTTCAAGTCAGACCTAGGCCCCATGACCTTTACAAACTCCAGCACCTGCGGGGACCCGGTGGCATCTGTCACTGCCAGGCGCGTCCTGTCTGTGTATGAGCACCGCGTCCCTACGCTCCGCCCCCGTCCTTGCCCCTGCACCTGTGCCAGCATCTCAGGATGGGACCTGGGGGTCTCGGGATGGGACCTGGGGGTATCGGACTTGGCTGCAGAGTTTTGGCCCAGCGCGGGTTTCTGTGCATGCCTCCCCGCGCCTCACATGCCTGCTCACGTGGGTGGGGCTGCTTCAGTGGCCCTCAGCCCGCCTCACCCCTGCCCCCCACCAGGAACTGGCCACACCCCCCCCCCCACCCCCAATCAACAGGCAGGCAAGGAAACTTGGTCCCAGACCCTGGCTCCCAGCTGCCTCAAGTCTCAGAACGCAAACCGGGTTCAGAACCATAGGTCAGCGGGGAGGGCGCTTGCCTTGCCTGCAGCGGACCCAGGTTCGATCCCCAGCAGCCACTGGGTCCCTCGGGCCCCACCAGGAGTGAACCCTGAGCGCAGAGCCAGGAATAAGCCCTGAGCACCGCTGGGGATGGCCCTCGAGCCAAAAAGAGAAGGAATAAAAGAAAGGAAACCCCTGGCCAGAGAGCAGGGGTGCGGCGGAGGGGGAGAAGAGGGTGGCAACACTTACCTTGGTCACCGAGGTACCCCACCTGCGGGCGGGCGCGGGGCGTGCGCGCCAGAGGCCGGAGTCCCAGCGCCCCGACTCCTCTGCGCATGTGCCCCCTCCCCAGCGCCCCCCACCCCAGCCCTGCCCAGAAGCTTCTGTGAGCACGTGCGCGGGTCTGTGCCTGGGCGTGGCTGGGGCCCACGCACAAAAGTGTCTCTCTTCCACGTGTGTGCGACTTGCTGCATGTCCCTGCTACTAGTTTTTTGGGGGGGAGGGGCTGGGGGCTCCCCAGGGCTGCTGGGAGGGATAACCCCACCCACACAGGCCAGGGTGGTGAAAATTCAACGGTCATTTGGGGCCTGGAGGTGCTGGGTGGGGGGGGGTCACCGGGGTCCCACTTAGCTGTGCTGGTGTGGGGAGGGGGGGAGCTTGCGGTGCTGGGGATTGAACTCGGGGCCTCGGGAGCACGCCAGGCATGTGCTCCTGTCCCCATAAACCATTTTCCTGGCTCTTAGATCGGGCGGTTTCTGACAGACAGGGGCATGGGCTTCGGGCACAGCCAGGTGGCTGCTGGTGCCCCCGCCAATAGATCCAGCGGGGGGCCGAGAGCGGTAGCACAGCGGGGAGGGCATTTGCCTTGCACACGGCAGACCTGGGTTCAATCCCCAACATCCCATAAGGTCCCCCAGGCACTGCCAGGAGTAATTCCTGAGTGCAGAGCCAGGAGGAACCCCTGAGCATTGCCGGGCGTGACCCAAAAAGCAAAAAGAAAAAAAGGAAAGAAAGAAAGAAAAAAAAAGGGGGGGCTGGAGCAATAGCACAGCGGGTAGGGCATTTGCCTTGCACGCAGCCAACCCGGGTTCGATTCCCAGCATCCCATAGGGTCTCCTGAGCACCGCTAGGGGTGATTCCTGAGTGCAGAGCCAGGAGGAACCCCAGTGCATTGCTGGGCGTGACCCAAAAAGCAAAAAAAAAAAAAAAAGGGGGGGGTGCTGGAGCAATAGCACAGCGGGTAGGGCGTTTGCCTTGCACGCGGCCGACCCGGGTTCGATTCCCAGCATCCCATGTGGCCCCCTGAGCACCGCCAGGGGTGATTCCTGAGTGCAGAGCCATGAGTGTAACCCCAGTGCATTGCCGGGTGTGACCCAAAAAGCAAAAAAAAAATTAAATAAATAAAATAAAGAGATCCGGAGGGCTGGGCTGGCCGGTTCATTTCACAGGGCGCAGGCGGGTGGGGGTGCGGGGAGGGGAGCGGGGCGCCTCGAGGTGGGCGCCTGTGTATGCCGGGGGGCAGGTGCGGGCTTGCAGGGGGGAGCGGGGCTGGGCCTCTGGGTGGGCACGTGGGCACGTGGGCGCAGGGGGCCGGGGCAGGGGGCGGTGGGGCCGGGGCCGGGGCGGGGCGGGCAGACACTTGCCTGGCAGGTTGTTGATGTAGCCGCCGTCCATGAGGAGGTGCCCGTCCTTGGGGTCGCACAACGGGGGCAGGTAGCCCGAGAGCGTCATGCTGGCGCGCACGTACCGCCACAGCGAGCCTGCCCGTGGGGGGGGACACACACAACAGACACGCGCAGACACGCTCAGACACGCTCGGAGGCCCCCGGCCAGCCCAGCGGGCGGGCTCGCTGACCTGGCACGTTGTTGACGTAGCACCCGTCCACCAGCAGGTGCCCGTCCTGGGGGTCGCAGAGTGGGGGCAGGTAAGGGCAGTAGGAGGCGCTGGCCCGGACATAGCGCCACACGCAGCCTGCGGGGACGGCGGGGCAGGGCATGAGGCGCCCAGCTCGGCGGCCGGCTCCCCGGCCCGGGGTGGGGGGACGCACGTACCTGGGGGCCGCTGGGGCATTAGTGGGTGGAGGTTAGTGGCCGGCAATTAGGCCGCGGGGCTGACGGTCACTCGTGTTAACAATCGGTCCCCGGCGCCCGCCCCCTGCTGCTGCGCCCCGCCCCCCCGCCCCCATGCAAATCATTGTGGCCCTTCCGGGCTGGCTGGTGGGACGGGGGGGCGCGCGGGGGGCGGGGTGGGCAACGCACCATCTTTGTGGACACGCATGGCCGAGGCAGTGATGTCCGTGGTGACGTTGAAGTAGGGTAACCACAGGTCCTGGGGGGTGGCGGGGAGGGGGGGAGAGAGAGGGTTTGGCGGGTGGGTTTGGAGGTGGGACCCGGGGGGTGGGGGGGTGGCCGCGATGGGGTTGCCGGGTCGCGGCGCACCTCGATCTGTTTGTCCTGGAAGACGCGGTGGATGCTGCGGTTGAAGGCGGAGCCGGTGAACATGGACGTGACCGGGTACGTGAGGTCCAGGACGGGCTCCAGCACCGAAGTCATCCTCTAGAGGCAAGGTGGGGCCCGGGGAGGAGGGCCGCGTCACGTGGGAGTCCCTTGGGGGCGTGGCCACCGGAGGACACGCCCACCGGGAGGCTGGGCGGGGAGCCAGGAGGAAGAGTGGGGGCCCCCCCAGGTTTCAGCCTAAGGTGATTTGTCCTGTTTGGGGGCCACATCCGGCTACGCTCGGGGTCTTTGCCTGGTTCTGCACTCCAGGATGTTTCCTGGTGGTGTTGGGGAGACCATACGGGGTGCCGGGGATCCAACCCGGAAACCACTCTGGTTTCCTATTTGTTTGGCGGGTTGATTTGCTTTTGGGGTGATAACCCGGCGGTACTCAGGGCTGACTCCTGGCTTTCCGCTCCACTTCTGGCAGAGCTCGGGGGACCCTATGGGGTGCTGGGTTCCGAACTTGGGTGGGCCAAATGAAAGGCCCATTTCTCTGGGCCTGGGGCCTGGTTATTTGAACTGGGGGAGGGGAGGTAGTGGGGGGAACTGGGGGTGGCGACGAAGCAGGAGGGGGTGGGGGGAGACACACACCTTGGCCCACTCCCGGGCCCTCTGCTTGGTACGGCTGGCGCTTCGTTCCTCCGCGTACAGGGCACCAATGAAGGAGCCGATGGATGTGCCGCCCACCAGGTCGACAGGGACCCCCGCCTCCTCTAAAGCCTTCAGCACCCCTATGTGGGAGCAGCCCCTACAAGGGAAGGAGCCCTAGTGACCTACTGGGATCCCTGAGGTCTGGATCCCAGGAGCTCCCCATCGCCCGAGGCTGCACCAACAGCTTTGGACTCAGACCTCTCCCTGGGGGGCAAGCCCCGCCCTTACCCAAGTATGACCACGCCCCTCTACTGGCCCCACCCTCAGCTCCCAGTCCCAGGTCCTCACCGAGACCCACCCCCACTGCTAAAGCATCCTGACACTGTCCCCCATTCTGACACTGTCACCCGATCTGAGCCAATCCTTCAGGGCTACCCAAATATTGCCAACCCACCCCTCGCAGCGCCCCTACAGAGGGCCCCATCAATTCCCCTGGGTTCTTCACAGTGCCCCACGGGGGCGGGGAGGGGGCTCCAATTTGACCCCGCCCTTCACCTGGCCCCACCCCCCGTGAAGTCCCATCAATCCAACTTGACCCTGCCCCTCACCTGGTCCCGCCCCTGAGGTCCCACCAATCCAATTTGACTCCGCTCCTCATCTGGCCCTGCCCCGTGAGGTCCCACCAATCCGACTTGACCCCGCCCCCAATTGGCCCTGCCCCTGAGGTCCCACCAATCCAATTTGGCCCCGCCCCTCACCTGGCCCCACCCCTCAGGTCCCACCAATCCAACTTGACCCCGCCCTTCACCTGGCCCCACCCCTGTGAAGTCCCATCAATCCAATTTGACTCCGCCCTTCACCTAGCCCTGCCCCCGTGAGGTTCCAGCAATCCAATTTGACCCCGCCCCCAACCGGCCCCGCCCCTGAGGTCCCGCCAATCCAATTTGACTCCGCCCCTCATCTGGCCCTGCCCCGTGAGGTTCCACCAATCCAATATGACCCCACTCCTCACCTTGTCCCGCCCCCCCCCCCCCCCCCGTGAGGTGCCACCAATCCGACTCGATCCCATCCCTCACCTGGCCGCGCCCCCGTGAGATCCCACCAATCCAATATGACCCCGCCCCTCACCTGGCCCCGCCCCCTGAGGTCCCACCAATCCAACTTGACCCCGCCCCTCACCTGGCCCCGCCCCCGTTAAGTCCCATCAATCCAACTTAACCCTGCCCTTCACCTGGTCCCGCCCCTGAGGTCCCACCAATCCAATTTGACTCCGCCCCTCACTTGGCCCGCCCCCGTAAGTTCCACCAATCCAATTTGACCCCGCCCCCAACTGGCCTCGCCCACCCCCCCCGTGAGGTCCCACCAATCCAATCTGACCCCGCCCACAACTGGCCCCGCCCCTGAAGTCCCACCAATCCGGCTTGACCCCGCCCCTCACCTGGCCCCGCCTCCGCCCAGCACCAGGGCGATGGTGTTGCCCGTGAGAACCCGCGCCAGGCGAGAGAAGTCGCTGTGCCGATCGGCGCGCCTGGAGAAGACCTTCTCGTAGAGCTCGTGCTGGGAGGGGTAAAAGCGCGGTGTAGGACGCGGTCCGTGGACCTCCCCGGCCCCCCTGGCCCAAGCCCCGCAGCTCCCCAAACAGGCAGCCCCTTGAGAGAACCCGGCCCTCACCAGCTTGGCGGGGCTGCGGCGGGAGAAGAGGCGGCGGGGACAGCGCAGGTGCAGGTGCCCCGAGCACCAGCTGCGCATGTTGAGCCACTCCACGGTGCGCGTGGGCCCTGCGCCCTCCTCCCGGTGCAGCAGCACCAGCTGCTTGAGCGCGCGCACGGCCGTGTTTTCCAGCATCTGCTCCAGCTGCGGAGAAGGAGGGGTGGGGGGTGGGGAGCGGAAGTCACCGGTCTGGGTCTTTTCCTCCCAGCTCTGCCCCACCTGTCCAGATCGGGTCCCCGGGGTGAGTAGCCACAGGCCCTCCGAACCTGGCCGAGTGTGGGCTCCTGGTCGCCCAGCCCCACGATGAGGATGCAGTCGGCCTGTCGCAGGCAGCGCACGGTCCAGGGCGTCAGCGACGCGTCCGTTTGGTAGAGGACGATGCGGTGCGCGTCTTCCTGCTGGGCCAGCCACCCGGACAGGCGGAATTCTTGGATACTGGGGTGGGGGTGGAGCCTGTCACCTCGAGGTTGTTCTGGGGTCCCCCCCAAAAAACAAATGTTCATTGCTAGGGGTGGGGTAGGGAGGGACCCCCACAGGTCTGCGCCCTCCAGGGAAATCGTCATTGCGTTGGCAACCCGTCGGTGAACCGAGTGGAGGCCCTACTGCTCCGGGCACGCCTAGAACTGGAACCAGAGCCGTAGGAATCTGAGGATCCAGGGAGTTCAAGCCATCGGATGGCGGGCAGGACCCAGGTTCGATCCTCGGCACCCCATATGGTCCCCTGAGCACTGCCAAGGATGATTCCTAAGCGCTGAGCCAGGAGTAACCTCTGAGCGTCGCCGGAAATGGCCCAAAAACAAATTAAGAAAAAAACAAAGGAAGAAAGAAAATTCTACGCTGGGGCCTAAGCGATAGTACAATGGGTAGGGCATCTGCCTTGCACGCGGCTGAACCCAGTTTGATTCCCAGCAACCCATATGGTCCTCTGAGCACTGCCAGGAGTAATTCCTGAGTGCAGAGCCAGGAGGAACCACTGAGCATTGCTGAGTGTGACCCAAAAACCTAAAAATTCAAAAAAAGAAGAAGAAGAAAAAGAAAAGAAATAAAAGAAAACGAATCCTAGGATGAGCCCAAGCAACAGCGCAGTGGGGAGGGAGTTAGCTTTGCACATGGCAGACCCGTGAGACCCCAGAGGGTCCCCGAGCCCACCAGGAGTGATCCCTGAATGCAAAACCACGAGTAAGCCCCAAGCACCGCCGGGTGGGATCCCCAAAACAAAAACAAAACAGAAGAATCTGGGCTTCAAGCCCACACCTGTCCTCCCTTCCTCCCTTCCCGCCCCCCGCTCTGCACCCCCCAAACAGCATACCTATCCAGTGCAGAGGCCCCGAGGCGGGCCCGGATAATGTCACTATTGAGAAGTAGTGTGGGACCTGAGGAGAAATTAGGAAGCAAGGTTAAGGGGCCCGCGAGTCAGAGAATACCACCCCAACATTTCACATTCCACTGTCGAATGGGACTGGAGAGATAGCACAGCGGGTAGGGCGTTTGCCTTGCATGCGGGTAGCCCGGGTTCGATTCCCAGCATCCCATATGGTCCCCTAAGCACCGCCAAGAGTGATTCCTGAGTGCATGAGCCAGGAGTAACTCTGATGCATTGCTGGGTGTGACCCAAAAAGCAAAAAAAAAAAAAAGGTTCCACTGACCACAGCCCCATTGCCAACCAATGGACACGCCCAATGCCCCGCCCACCCACGCCCCGCCCCCCTCACTGACCAATGGCTCGCAAGGCATGTTGCAATTCCAGTGTGAAGGCCACCATGGGCACCTCGGCACATACGGGCAGGACCGCGACTGTGGACAGGTTGCTGGCCGGGTTGGTGAGCTCCGAGTGAGCGGGGACACCAAGCCCAGAACCTGCGGAGACAGCGACAGATCAGATCAGCGGGGCACTTCTGGGTCCCGACGCCTCCACCCCCAGTTCCCCAGCTAATGTTGGGAAAAGTCTGAATGAGAGTTCTTTTTGGCTGGAACCATAACACAACGGGAGGGGCATGGGTTTGATCCCCGACATCCCATAGGGTCCTCCGAACACTGCCAGGTGTAATTCCGGAGTGCAGAGCCAGGAGTAACCTCTGAGCATCGCTGGGTGTGACCCAAACATAAGTCAAAAACCAAAAATCATGGCCCCAGACAAAAATCCTGCTGCCCTACGATCACATCCGAGCTAGGAGTGAATTGGCAACTCCGTTTCCCAGCATCCTGTGCTCTCGGCTTCGCTGTCCCAGAATGTCCAAGGGCTGGACTTTGTTCCCCAGGCAAGCCCGGACACCCAGAACAACCAAGCTCGCCTATTAACGGCCAGCCCCTTGGCACAACATCTTTAGACCTCACCAGCCCTGGGTCTAGAACTCCCATTTCCTGGCAGGATCAGGAACCCATCCCCGTCAAGCACCCAAACAGGTTCCGCTTCAGGCTGCAAAACACCCCCCAGAGCAAGAGCTGGAGGCTCAGACTCCTGTTTCCCAGCATGTTCTGGGGTTAGCTCTGGGTCCACTGCCCTTCCCAAGCACCGGACTACATCCCCCAGCATGCTCTTGGCCTTGCCCCACCCCAGGCTGCCTTGGACTACATCCCCCAGCATGCTCTGCTCTGCTCAGCCCTGCCCTTGGCGCGGGCTAAGTGCCGGACTACATCCCCCAGCATGCTCTTGGCCTTGCCCCGCCCCAGCCTGCCTTGGACTACATCCCCCAGCATGCTCTGCTCTGCTCAGCCCTGCCCTTGGCGCGGGCTAAGTGCCGGACTACATCCCCCAGCATGCTCTTGGCCTTGCCCCACCCCAGCCTGCCTTGGACTACATCCCCCAGCATGCTCTGCTCTGCTCAGCCCTGCCCTTGGCGCGGGCTAAGTGCCGGACTACATCCCCCAGCATGCTCTTGGCCTTGCCCCGCCCCAGCCTGCCTTGGACTACATCCCCCAGCATGCTCTGCTCTGCCCTGCCCTTGGCGCGGGCTAAGTGCCGGACTACATCCCCCAGCATGCTCTTGGCCTTGCCCCGCCCCAGCCTGCCTTGGACTACATCCCCCAGCATGCTCTGCTCTGCCTAGCTAAGTGCCGGACTACATCTCCCAGCATGCTCTGGGGCAGACCCGCTCTCACCTGGAAAAGGTCCTTGTAGTTGCTGCAAGTCCCCCAGGATTTTCTGGCTCAGAAGGTGGATGAGGCGGGTCACAACCTGTAGCGTCGGTCCAGTAAGACTGGAGAAGCAACTCTGCCAGTCCCACTTCCCCCTCCTCTCCCAGAGTCCCTGGGTCCCCCGTGATTTGGACTCCCGACCCCCCAAAGCCCCGCCCCCCCCGCTAGCAGGTTGTGGCCACCTCCTTTAGGGCTCCACCCCCCCATGCCGGACCCTGCTGCATCCAGGTCCGGGTGCCTCCCACGGGGTCCCACCTGGGGGTAGCGCCGCTTGATGTGGCTCAGGGTGCCCTCGGGGAGCTTGGCCAGCTCCGTGTCCCGTACTGCATGCACCGTGGTGGCGCGCGCCTGCCGCGTCAGGGCCTCCACCTGGGGGGGAACGCAGGTGTCAGTCAACAGGGCTTCTGGGCCCCGGGAGCCCAGGTAAGGGGCAGGCACCCCGAAGCCGAGGACTCCTGTTTAGCCGGGCTCTGGAGAAGGGACGTGGAGGGGGGGCTTCTTTGGGGACCTGCATCCCACGGTGATGGAGACGTGGAGACGCAACCACCCACCACCCAGAGCAGGGATCCTACCCTGCCCTTGCCCCCCCACCGGCCAGAAAAAGAGCTGGGAAGAGGGGCTGGAGCAATAGGACAGTGGGGAGGTACTTGCTACCCCGAATTCGATCCTTGGCACCCCCTGGGCCCCTCTGAGACATGCCAGGGGTGATCCGTGGGTGCAGCGCCAAGAGTCAGCCCTGAGCACTTTGCCGGGTGTGGCCCCCAACTCCCCCCCACACACACACACCCCGCCACGAAAAAAAAAGAAAAAGCAGGGAAGAGTTGCCTGGGAGAGGTCAGAGGTCAGTGGGGTGGGGGCTCACCACGCCCACGAGGTCCCCTCGGCCGTACTCGCCCACCAGCTCCTTCTTGCCACTGCCCCGTTGGATCACGCTGCGCAAACGCCCGTTGAGCACGATGTAGGTGCAGTCGGAGCGGTCGCCCTGCCTAGGGGAGGGGAGGGGTCAGCTGGGGGCCGGGAAGGGTCCCGGGCAGGGCCCTGTGCGGCCAGGGCGGGCCAGCCCCCCCCAACACACACACACACACACACACACACACACACACACACACACCCCGTACCTGTACAGGGCGCGGCCGGCCTCCACTGCGGTCCAGTCAATGGCAAAGTCCATCTGGCGGACAAAGGACGACATCCTGGCAGCCACAGTGTGCGCGGCGCTCAGCACCACGCTGGGCTGGGCACGCATGATCCTGCGGGTGGGGGAGAGGTGACTGGATGAGGGGGGCTCCGGGCACAGCCTTCAGGCAAGGGAGAGGGCCTGGAGGTGGGACCCACCAACTCCCTGCACCCCCCGCCCCCAATCGTACTCATAGAAGTCGGACTTGGAGATGCGCAGGAAGGTGCAGTCGCGCTGGGCACGCAGCGTGAAGATGAGGGGCTCGCCCGTGAGCACTGCCAGCTGCCCCACCAGCTCTCCGGGCTGGGCCACGAACAGGCACACGTCCTCCGCCTTGTCGATCATCCGCTGGTACACGTGTAGGCAGCCCCAGAGCACGAAGTGCAGGCTCGCATCCTGCGGGGGCAGGGGGACACGGGAGATGGCCACTGGGCAGGACGGTCCACCCCCAACTCGGAGCAACCCACTCTGAGGGGGAGGCCAGAGCCACTGGGGCCGAGGGCCGCTGTGTCAGACCCAGGTTCGATCCCCGCACCCTGTAGGGTCCCTGAGGCCCGCCAGGAGTGATCCTGAGCACAGAGTGGGAGTCAGCCCTAGCACTGCTGAGTGTGGCCTAGCTTATTCTGTACATAAGTCATATTACATAACAATATAATCTGTAGCACCGTAGCACTGTCCTCCCGTTGTTCATCGATTTGCTCGAGCGGGCCCAGTAACGTCTCCGTTGTGAGACTTGTTGTTACTGTGTCTGGCATATCGAATACGTCACGGGGAGCTTGCCAGGCTCTGCCGTGCGGGCGAGATACTCTCGGTAGCTTGCCGGGCGCTCCGAGAGGGGCGGAGGAATCGAACTCGGGTCGGCCAGGTTGGCCACGTGCAAGGCAAAAATGCCCTACCGCTGTGCTATCTCTCCAGCCTGAATATATTCAAACATAATATTATTTTATTTTTATTTATTATTTATTTTGCTTTTTGGGTCACACCCAGCAATGCTCAGGGGTCATTCCTGGCTCTGCACTCAGGAATCACTCCTGGCGGTGCTTGGGGGGACCATATGGGATGCCGGGGATTGAACCCAGGTCGGCCGCGTGCAAGGCAAACGCCCTACCCGCTGTGCTATCGCTCCGGCCCCCATAATATTATTTTAGAATGTCTTGAAATAATATACTTATATAACACTTATGTAACCTATGTAAGTTATATAACAATATCTAACTATAACTATTATATAACAGTTCATATGATAATAGTTACATAGTTCATATATATTATCATAGTCATATTTATATTATTTATAATAGTTATTATACTGTTTGGACTCCACGCCAGGCTGTTTTCACTTGGGGTGCCCCAGGGGGGTCGGGCGAGAGCCCTCCTGGCCCCAAAGGACCCATCCCCGGCAGCCGACCTCCACTACCCAACCGCCGCCACGCTCCAGGCCACTTTCCGGACACATCATAAGATACTTCCTACCCATTTTCCGTAATTACCACACCATGTTTGATGGCGTTCAGACAGTAGGCAACAAATCATAGACCAAAAAAAAAAAAAATATATATATATATATATATGCCTCTCGGATAGCCCGGCAAGCTACTAAGAGTATCTGTCCGCAAGGGCAGAGCTGGCAAGCTCCCCTTGGTGCATTCGATATGCCAAAACCAGTAACTATAACAGGTCTCATTCCCCTGACCCCGAAAGAGCCTCCCATCATTGGGAAAGACGAGTAAGGAGAGAGAGGCTGCTAAAATCTCAGGTCTGAGAAGAATAAAGACGTTACTGGTGCCTGTTCGAGTAAATAGACATCAATAAACTGGGATGACAGTGATTATACTATTATAATTTATATCATATATGTTATATTATATATTATATTATATGATATATTATATATCATATAATGAAGAGCCTCAAACCGATCATTCAGGGTCTTGACGAAGAAGTCTGACCATCTCGTAGGATAACATATATAATATATATAATATATTATAATTATATTCCAGGACTGGGACTGGAATATAATTATAATATATTATATTTTATATATGTTATATATGTTATCCTACGAGATGGTCAGACTTCTTCGTCAAGACCCTGAATGATCGGTTTGAGTCTCTTCATGTTCCTAGAACGAGCAGATGCCATTGGGCTACGCTAGCACGCAACAGGGATGAATGGAGACGTTGCTGGAGCCCGCTTGAGCAAATCGATAGGTATCAAGTGATCAAGTGATATATGTTACATATTTAATATATTATTATTATTATTATTCGCTTTTTGGGTCACACCTGGCAATGCACAGGGGCTACTCCTGGCTCTGCACTCAGGAGTCACTCCTGGCGGTGCTCAGGGGACCCTATGGGATGCTGGGAATCGAACGTGGATCGGCCACATGCAAGGCAAACGCCCTACCTGCTGTGCTATCACTCCAGCCCCTATATTTAATATATTAAACTCGTTTATGTTACATATAATGCTTATACAATTGGATATAGATATAAATGTTATGCATAATGTAAGCTAAATCATACATAATAAACACCGTATTGTAAATAATTCTATCATATATATGAACCCCTCCCTTTTCCCCATCACTCCCCAGGTCTGTGGACATCCTTTGGTTTCTGAGAAACTACCTCTTTTCTTTTATTTTCTCCCTTTCTAACCCCCACAAAGTTGCACAAGCTCTGTCCTCAACCCCCAAAGCTTCTTTTTCTGGGGGAGGGGAGGGGGTTCATACCCGATGGTGCCCAGGGCTCACTCCTGGCTCTGTGCTCAGGAACCCTACAGGGTGCCAGGGGTCCAACCCCATCCGTTGTGCAAGGCAAGCGCCCTCCCCACGGTCCTATCGCTGGGGCCCAAGCCCTGACGACTCTTATCAGTCCCAGTCCTGGGTGGTTCCACCCGCCTCTGCGGTCACTTCCTCAGAGACCTGCCCAATGGGGTCTGACTTCGATCTGTCATCTCTGCTGCCGGAAACACCCAGGATTTGGCAAGCCTTTGCTTCCCCGGGGCTGCCGCCCCCCTCACTGCTGTTGCCTGCCTCTGTGGGGGAACAGACAGGGCACCCACGTCTTCTTCTCCAGCTAGTGGCCCACAAACACCTCCCAGCCTCACCCTGGCAGGTGTCTCAAAGGCGCCGTAGAGAGAGAGATTCCCCATCCTGGCAACGCACCAGCGGGACCCCCCCAAACCCAGAAGCCCATGGGGTGGGGCCATATGAAACACAGAACTCCGAGACATAGCCAGGATGTTCGATTTTTTTTGTTTGTTTTGCTTTTTGAGTCATACCTGGAGATGCTCAGGGGTTCCTCCTGGCTCTGCACTCAGGAACTACCCCTGGCAGTGCTGGGGGACCGCATGGGATGCTGGGAATCGAACCTGGGTCGGCTGCGTGCAAGGCAAACGCCCTCCCCGCTGTGCTATCGCTCCAGCCCCCTGATATGATTTCTGGTACCCCAATGAGTGTGTGCCTCCCTCATACCCCCCACAAAAAAACAGGGAGAAAATGGGGCTGGAACAATAGCACAGCGGGGAGGGCGTTTGCCTTGCACGCAGACAACCCGGGTTCGATTCCCAGCATCCCATAGGGTCCCCTGAGCACCGCCAGGGGTAATTCCTGAGCGCAGAGCCAGGAGGAACCCCTGTGCATTGCTGGGTGTGACCCAAAAATAAAAAAAACAAGGAGAAAAGGGAGGCGGAAAGAAGTCTGGGCATTGCCTTAGGAGAAGGCGGTGGTGAAAGCGTCTGGGGGTGGCATGCTGGGAGGAAAAGTCCAGAAGGAAAGGGCTGGGGGGCTGGGCCTCGCGCCCACACAGGCAAGAGTGACAAGAACTCCCTTCCTGGTTCCTCCGCCACATGCCACCACGAACGACCATAGCTTCCTGCACAGCTGCCACGACCCGCTGGAGGCCAGGGCTGAATCAAACTGGCCGAGCTGCCAAGCACCTGAGCCACAAGCAGGCCAAAGACTTTCTAGAAGCCTCCTCCCCACCTCTGCTGGTCCACCCCCACCCCACCCCTGGCTCTGCCACCTGTATAAGCCCTCAGACAGCACAGGACTGAGCCTCTTGGATCCTCCAGGCCCTTCAAGCAGGTGGAAATGGTTACAACCGCCATTCTGCCACTTGGGGAACTTTCTAGATCTTTCGAGAACTTTCTAGATCTTTCCCCTGGCGCTCACAGCGGAAGTGCGGAGGAGGTGAGACCCAGATATCATACTGGGTCTTCTCGCTCTGGTGCTTTCTGGCTGTGCCATCCTGGCCGAATTGCTGCCCTCGGAAGGCCTCAGTTTCCCTTCTTGGAGGGTAGAGGGGTTGGCAGGATATGACTTTCTGTACCTCCTGGAATCCAACTCCCGGAGCTGGTTCCTGGCCTTTGGGACTGAATTCTGACTGGGACACATTCACTGAGAGCCCGGGAGCAGAATGTCAACCGGAAATAGAATGTCAAAGCTGACTGTGACGCAGAGGGGTCAGAAAATCGGAGATTAATGAAAAGGTTGGGGGCGGCAAAAAGCTTTAGAGGGCTGGAGAGATAGCACAGCAGGTAGGGCGTTTGCCTTGCACGCGGCCGACCCGGGTTCGATTCCCAGCATCCCGTAGGGTCCCCCGAGCACCGCCAGGAGTGGTTCCTGAGTTCATGAACCAGGAGTAATCCCTGTGCATCGCTGGGTGTGACCCAAAATGCAAAAAAAAAAAAAAGAAAACAGCTTTAGAGCTTGGAGCTGGGTAAGTGTTCGGGTTACTCCTGGCTCATGCACTCAGGAATCACTCCTGGGCAGTGCTCGGGGGACCCTATGGGATGCTGGGAATCGGACCTGGGTCGGTCACGTGCAAGGCAAACGCCCTACCCGCTGTGCTATCGCTCCAGCCCGGACCCTCAGCACCTTAATACCTAGGAGAGCACCAGTGGGTGAAATGCCCCCACAACAATCCAAAGAAAAGGGGTGAGCAGAGCAATGGTAAAGTGGGTAGGGTATTTGCCTTGCATGCAGTAGACTTGGGTTCAATCCCCAGCAACCCACAGGATCCTCCAAGCCTGCCAGGAGTGATCCCTGAGCACAAAACCAGGAGTAACTCTTGAGCACCCCCGGATGTGCCCCCAAAATAGAAGAAAGGGGGTCAGAGAGAGAGTCCGGGAATTAAGGCACTTGCCTTTCACAGACCCCTAGTGAAATGCAAGGCACTCCAGAGGGTCCCCTGAATCCCACCGGAAGTGGATCCCTGAGCACAGAGCCAGGAGTAAGCCCCGAGCACTTCTGGTGTGACACCCAGAAACAGACGAGGGGCTGGAGTGACAGCACGGCGGGTAGGGTGTTTGCCTTGCATGCGGCCGACCCTGGTTCGATTCCCAGCATCCCGTATGGTCCCCTGAGCACTGCCAGGAGTAATTCCTGAGTGCATGAGCCAGGAATAACCCCTGTGCATCGCCAGGTATGACCCAAAAAGCCAAAAAAAAGAAACAGACGAAAAGTATGAGGGATGAGATAGAAGGGTAACAGGTCCAGAAGGTGTGAGAGGCAGCAGAGAGGTCAAAGAGCAAAGAGAGATCGGAGGTCAGCCCTACCTGGTCCCCTTGGCGGGCAATGATGGTCCCAGCCTTGGCGTGATGCAGCAGGACACGGCTGTTCAGGAGGGAGAGGTCCTGGGGAGGACGAGGCAGGGGCGTGGGGCGGTGAGGCGGGGTTCCTGCCAGCCTCTGCACCCTCCCAGCACCCCGGGTACTGCCCTGGGGGGGGCCCACCTCGATCCGCATCAGCTTGGCCAGTTCCCGCTTGGCCGCCTCGAAGATGCTGCTGGTCTGGCGGCCCTGATAGGGCCCGAAGGGGCAGCCGCCACTGGCCGACTCGTCCTCGCTGTAGCTGTACTCACAGGCGCCCGCCGGCTGCTCGCGGGTCTCCTGGGTGGGGGTCTACGGGGAAGAACGGCGGGGTGGGTCACCTCCCTGCTCCTCCCTGGGGCGGGGCGGGTGCAGTGGGGTGACGTGGTGCACAGGGCAGGGTCTCACCCGAGCGGGCGCTGCCGGGGGTGCCCCGGAAACCTCTTCCTGCAGCGACACGGAGATGCGGCCACGCTCACAGGCCATGTCAAAGTCGGAGCGGGGTCCACTGCCCTGCAAGCCTGGGGAGGGGCGGGCGGGAGCCACACAAGCCATGAGGACAGCGCTGGGCGCAGGGGCTGACCCTTATCTGCAAGCCCCACCTGGGGCCAGGGGCTGTGTTCCCTGCAGACATGACTAATGGATCCCAGCTGGTGCCCTGGGCCACAGCTGGGATTGTCGGTGGGTTGATTTCTCAGATTAGAAAACCAGTGACAGGGGCCGGAGAGAGCACAGCGGGTAGGATGTTTGCCTTGCATGCGGCCAACCCGGGTTCGATTCCCAGCATCCCATATGGTCCCCCGAGCACGGCCAGGAGTAATTCCTGAGTGCATCAGCCAGGAGTAACCCTGTGCATCACCAGGTATGACCCAAAAAGCAAAAATAAGTAAATAAATTTAAAAAAAAGAAAGAAAAAGAAAACCAGTGACAGGGGCTGGAGCAATAGTATAGTGGGTAGGGCGTTTGCCTTGCACCCGGCCGACCCGGGTTCAATTCCCAGCATCCCATATGGTCCCCCGAGGACTGCCAGGAGTAATTCCTGTGCATAGCCGGGTATGACCCAAAAAAGAGAAAAAAAAAAAAACTAACAGGGGCTGGAGTGATAGTTCAGTGGGCCGCGGGTAGGATGTCTGCCTTTCACGCGGCTGACCCGGGTTCGATTCCCAGCATCCCGTGTGGTCCCCTGAGCACCACCAGAAGTAATTCCTGAATGCAGAGCCAGGAGTAACCCCTGTGCATCGCCAGGTGTGACCCCCCCAAAAAACAAAACAAACAAAAAAAGAAAACCAGTGACAAACAACAGCCCTAATTCCACCCGCAACACCACACAGTGTCCCCAGGAGTGATCCCTGAGCACAAAGTCAGGCGTCAGCCCTGAACACCGCTGGGGGTGGCTCACCTCCCTCCCCGGAACAGAAGACCGAGGACTCTACACCTCAGCCCCAGAAGCCTGAAGCCTCCCCCCCATCCCTTCCATTTTGCACCCCAAACCTGAGATGTCCACAGGCATGGAGATACAGCGACTCAGCAGGGGGGCAGCGGGGGTGTCCAGGGAGGTGGGTGTCTTCACAGGGTCTCCTACGGGAGAGAGGGGTTCAGGCGACTGCCCCCCTCTGCCCCAAATCGCCAGGTATAAAAATGTGACGGAGAGGGGATGGAGTGGGGAGACTGGGAGGGGGCAGCGCTGAGTCTCTGGGGCCCTGGGACAAGGCAAAGTCATTCCAATGGGTTTGTGGGGCCCAGTCCAGGAGACCCCAGGGGATGCGCAGGCTCAGATGGGGGCAGGGGACACTCAGCTAAGAGGGGAAGGGGGGGGGTGAAGCGGAGTCTGAGAGAATGGGGTGTTGGGAGCTGGACTTTGGGGGAGATGGGCTGGGAGCCGGCAAGCGTGGGCTGGGGTACCTGCAGGTCCCGGCAGGGGGGCCCCGGTGGGGTCTGGAGGCCGGCCTGGGTTCTCCCGGGGCTCCTCCGTGGCCGAGGTGCTGACCACGCGCTTGGAGCCCCTCACAGGGCTGGTGCGGGCAGGCAGGCCGGGGCTGGGGAAGAGGCGCAGGGGCTGGATCTCCTGCGGGGTGGGCAGCGGCGTATGTGGCAGATCTGGACAGGGTGGGGCCATCTAACCCCCCCCCCCCGACCCCCACGACACACCCCGACCGGCCCGGGGTCTTTCCCCCAACTCACATGGCTGAAGAGTTCATTGGTGAGTCCCAGGTAGTTGTGAAGCGCAAGGAAGGTGACCCGCTGCAGCCTGACCATGATGATCTGGAGGGGGGAGTGTGGGGGGTGGGCGTGGGGGCGTGGTCAGAGGGTGTGATAGAAAAGGGGGCGTGTTTGGAGGGGGTGTGATAGAAACGGGGGCGTGGCCAGAGGGTGTGATAGAAACGGGGGCATGGTCAGAGGGGTGACAGAAAAGGGGGCGTGGTCTGAAGGGTGTGGTTAGATGGGATTGGTCCGGAGTGGTCAAAGGGGGCGTGGTCGGAGGGTGTGATAGAAAAGGGGGCGTGGTCTGAAGGGTGTGGCTAGATGGGATTGGTCCGGAGCGGCCAAAGGGGGCGTGGTCGGAGGGTGTGATAGAAAAGGGGCGTGGTCAGAGGGTGTGATAGAAAAGGGGGCGTGGTCTGAAGGGTGTGGTTAGATGGGATTGGTCCGGAGTGGCCAACGGGGGCGTGGTCGGAGGGTGTGATAGAAAAGGGGGCGTGGTCTGAAGGGTGTGGTTAGATGGGATTGGTCCGGAGTGGTCCGAGGGGCGTGGCCAGAGGCGTGGTTGGGGCGGGTGTGTTTGAATGGGCGGGTCAGGGGTGAGGCTGGGAAAAGGTGTGGCCAGGCGGGGGCGTGGCCAGGGAAGGGTGTGGCTGGGCGTGGTCAGGAAAGAACAGGTAGGGCGGGGTGGTTGGCTCAAAGGGTTGGGGCACAGGCTCCTGCATGTCTGCATAAGGAAGGTCCTATGATGCCACCTCCCCTGCCCCCCCAAAATACAAGGAAGCATTTTTCAACCCCCAGAGTCGCTCCCCCACCCGCACCCCAAGACAGCAAAATAAAACAACAACAAGAATTCTGAGAGTGGGTCCTGGGTGGACGAAAAGACTTTTGGCAGTGCAAGGCTGGACCTGAAAGAGGCCTCTGAAGGCCGAGGGGCCAGGGGGCCCGAGGCAGCTGCAGGAGGCGGGCGGGGTGCTCGGGGTGCTGGGGGCTAGGTCGCCTGCAGGCTGCGGGGCGCCAACCCCAGGCCGACAGCCGGCACACGGGGCGGGGGGCTCACGCACCTGCACCACGCGCACCAAGCTCTCCGGGTACTTGGTGAAGACGGTGGAGAAGGCCTCCACCGGCAGCCGCAGCACCGTGGAGTCGCGGGCGGCCCGGGCGGACACGGTGCGCTGGGGGTGCTGGTGCCCCTGAGGCGGGATGATGGGGTGGAGAGGACCAAGGTCAGGGGCTGTGCAATCTCCTCTGGATCACGACGGAAAACCGGCAGCAACAGGGATTCCCAGGGGTCCCCGCTCCAAGACCCCCAACCCCCCCTCGCTGGGCGAACCCCCCTATCCAGCCTCCCCACGGCCGGCCACTCACAGTGATGACGTCCAGGATACTCAGGAGGCTGTTGACGCTGTCCCCGGGGACCACCTCCTTCACCACACATTCCTTCCCATCCTGAGACACCAGGGGGCGCTGCTGAGCTGCGCTGCCCACGCCCCCCCCAGCCCCACCCCTGGAGTTTTTCCCCCCTGACCCTCACCACTGTAAGTTATCAATGAGGCAGTGGTCTCTAAACCCACTGACACATGAAAAGCAGCACCCCGGACGCTCTGGGCATCCCCACACTCCCTCCGCCAGCCTGCCTGCCTGCACATCTCAAAAGCCAACACAGCTATTAAAAGGAGAAGGTTCAGGGGCTGGAGCGATAGCACAGCGGGTAGGGCGTTTGCCTTGCACGCGGACGACCCAGGTTCGATTCCCAGCATCCCATAGGGCCCCCCGAGCACCGCCAGGAGGAATTCCTGGGTGCATGAGCCAGGAGTAACCCCTGTGCATCGCTGGGTGCGACCCAAAAAGCAAAAAAAAAAAAAAAAAAAAAAAAAGTTCAAAGCGCTACTTGCACAGATTTTGCTGATGGAAGGTTTAGGTTGGATACTTGGAACTGGCATGGTCTCGAACGCCAAACCTGGTATGGCGCCCACCCCCACACACACACTTAAGCAAAAATAAATTAAAAGACCACCAACCCTGGGGCTGGAGCAATGGCACAACGGGTACGGCATTTGCCTTACACGCGACAGAAACGGGTTCGATTCCCAGCATCCCATATGGTCCCCCAAGCACCCGCCAGGAGTGATTCCTGAGTGCAAAGCCAGGAATAACCCCTGAGCATTGCCAGGTGTGCTCCCAAAAGCATAAAAAAAAAAAAAAGTCATAGGCTGGAGCGATAGTACAGCAAGTAGGCTGCTCAAACTGCACACAGATGACCTGGGTTCAATCTTTGGCAACCCTGATGGTCCCTGGAATCTTCCAGGAGTGATCCCTGAGCATAGAGCGAGTAGTAAGCCCCGAGGACAGCCGAGTGGGGCCCCAAAAACACAAAATCAAGGGGGCTAGAGTGATAGTCCAGCAGGTAGGGTGCTTGCCTTGCATGCAGCCAACCCAGGTTCGATCCCTGGCACCCCACATGTCACGAGTGATTCCTGAATGCAGAGCCAGGAATAAGCCGTGATTGTCGCCAGATGTGGGCCCAGAACACAAGTTAAAAAAATTAAGGCCCCAAGCCCTGCTGGTCTCCCACTGCGCCTCCTACCAACCCCCTCGCCCTGCAGTGCCCACTGACCGGTCCTGGTAGACAGAGTTCCAGCAGGCCGTCTTGCACCACGTAGATGCTGGCATCCGGCTGGCCTGGCCGGAAGACGTAGTCGCCCTGGCTCAGCCGCTGGAAGACCATGTGACGACACAGCTCCAGGAACAGAGGCTTCTCAAAGTGACCCAGCACCCTGCAGGCGGGATCAGGGATGCGTGAGGTCAGACTGGCCCCCGGGGCTCCCTGGCCCTTCCCCTCGTGGAACCCCGACACTAACCGGACGTTCTTGAGCATGTACAGCACCTCGGAGGGCAGGTGGGAGTTGGCCAGGTCCCCCTTGGTCAGGTCGGCCTCCAGCACTGAGGGCGGGGGCTCCTTCCGCTGCAGTGTGGGTGTCTCCTTCTGGATGCGCAGGATCCTGGGGAGAGGGGAGGACAGGTGTGTGTGTGGAGGGAACAGGGAGAATGTTCAGGCATCCTCGGGACCCCCTCACCCCCACACGGTCCTTCTTGACAGGCACGCGGGGCAGGAGTCAGCAGCCTGGCTCTCTGCTCAATCAGACCTGCCTCATGTTTCTACAAATAAAGTTTTATTAGCACACTGGCCCGCTTCCCAAGGAGGCCTGCCACTTGTTTGCTACAACTAAAGTTTTATTGGTAACCCCTATTCACTCATTGTCCAGAGCTCAGTCGTTATTGCGGAGTGGCAGATAGTCAGTACAGCCTGAAGTATTTACTAACTGGCTTTTACTAAAAAATAGCACTGTAGGGCTGGAGCAATAGCACAGCGGGGAGGGCGTTTGCCTTGCACGCGGCCGACCCTGGTTCAATTCCCAGCATCCCATAGGGTCCTCTGAGCACCGCCAGGAGTAACTCCTGAGCGCCGAGCCAGGAGGAAGCCCTGTGCATCACCGGGTGTGATCCAAAAAGCAAAAAAATAAAAATAAAAATAAAAATAAAAATAAATAGCACTGTATAGCACTGTCCTCCCAGTGTTCATCGATTTGCTCGAGCGGGCCCAGTAACGTCTCCATTGTGAGACTTGTTATTGTTTTTGGCATATTCAGTACATCACAAGTAGCATGCCAGGCTTTGCCATGCGGGCACGATACTCTTGGTAGCTTGCCGGGCTCTCCGAGAGGGACCGAGGAATCGAACTGGGCTCGACCCGGATCGGTTGAAATAAGCAAAACAAAGTGGTCAAATCCCCCAAATGGGAATCCCAAGGTGGCCTTTCCACCAAGCCCCTGAGATAGACCTAAGTCCGCAGCTTTCCAAGGTGTGGACAGGTTCCCCAGAAATGTCACTTCTTTGTGTGTCTGCGGATGCCCCAGAGTCCAGCCTGGGCCAAGTGGCCTTGTTGACACAAGGCAGATGTCTGGCATAGCTTCCTATCAGAGAAAAGTCAATGCCGGCTTCCTTGCTGATGTCTGCGACCGGTGAGCCAGCTCTCCCCTGGGCTCTGCAGCCCGGGAGGAGACTCCCAGCAGACTCCCAGCTCCCAAGGCCGACCAGGGAACATCAAAGAACCTTCAGATCTGCCCTTGGTGGGGGCCGCTCCCCGTCCCACCCCCTCTTGGCGCCAGACACGCTCCCGCCCCCTCACTTCTTGGCAATGTTGAGCATTTTAAGCTTCTTCTTCATGCGTGGCCGGGAAGCAGTGGAGACGGAAGCATCCACCAGGGAGGAAGTTGACTGTGACACCTGGGAGGATGAAAGAGAAAGGGGGAGGCAATCAACCATCAGCCGGGATCAAAAGGGGCCTGGGGGGGACCCTAGGGGGGGGGGTCCCTGCAACTCACCTTCCGCATGATCTTCCGCCCATAGAAAAGCACTTTGTCCCTTTTCCGGAACCGGTACCGCGGGCCCTCCGGGGCTGGGGTTTCTGGGATGAAGTTGGGGGGTCAGAGAGGGCAACTCGAGTCTGGGGCTCTGCAGAGCCTGGGGGTGGGTGCGTGGGGGGGTGCTGCGTTGCAGATTCCAGCGGACCCCCAGTTCTCCGGCCTCCCACCCCGCGGGGTCCCCACCCCACCCCACCCCACCCCGGGGCGGGTTCTCACTGGGCACGCGGAGCCTCCGCACCAGCAGGAGGATGAGCACGGCCGTGACCATCACCGCGACTCCGGCCCCGATCATCATCCCCAGCACCTGCGGGACGAACGGCACCGGCTGCGGCTCGCACCCGCGCCCCGCCGCGCCTTCGAGGGCCCCATCCCCCTCCGGCCCCTCCGCCCCCGAGGAGGTGTCCGGCGACCCGGGACTCGACGTCCCCATCTGCAGAATGGGCGGGCGCGGCTCCCTCTCCGCCCCCCACCCCCCGCCCCCCGGGGGGCGCAAACTCTTTCCCCCGGAGGAGGGCTGGCCCCGGGGCCGCGGGGCACGCCGGGAAACGCAGTTCCGCACCCCCCACCCCCAACAGACGTAGCCGAGTTCTCGCGAGACCGCGGCGGCGCGCGCTGAGCATGATGGGAGTTGTAGTTCTCCCGCGCGCCGGGAGTTGTAGTTCTTGGGCGCGCCGCTGCCCCCCACCCAAGGCAAACCTTTCCGCAGTCCTCACCATTCCGGTTTGCAGTGGGGCGTCCATGGCTTGCTTCGGGCCGGCGGCAGATCGAGGGGTCCCGACTCTTGGGGGATCCAGAAGCTGGAGGAGGAAGCCGAGCAGGTCGTGTCTCCCGAGTCCGCCCCCTTTCCCCCACCCCCCACCCTCCCCACCCTCCCCACCGGCCGGGCTCCTGCACCCAAGCCCTGCCCACTTCGCACCCGCCGCCGGGGCGGCCCCTCTGCAGGCCCTGGGTGGTGGTGGTGGGGGGGGGGTTAGGGCTAACACTGGAGCGACGCGGAGGAGCAGAGGGGTGGGGCAAACTGACCTCGGGACCCGGGCTGGGGAGGAAGGAAGCGCCCCGGAACGTTGGTCTGGGTCCCCTTCACCTACTTACCGGGGCGACGCCCCAGCCCCACCTGGGTCCAAAGGGCGACCGGCCGAGCACCAACAGTCAGCAGCCAGGCGCTTGGGGGGTCCGTGCCCAGGCCTGGCTTCTTCTCCGGGGTTGATCTCTCATGATCAACCGACCCCCTGGACTGTATTTCAGGCTCTACTGTGAAGGCTGAGGTCTCCCCCCCCCCGCCCCACCCCAGCTCCACTTAAACAGGGTCCCTCGAGCTGGAGCTGCGGAGGGCTGGGAGACACCAGGGCCCCCCGCGGGGTGGGGGGGAGGGGAAGGAGCTGGGGTACGCTGGTGCACGACCCCGAGCTCCCACTTTAGAGGTGGGGGCCGGGGAAGGGGCAGTCGGAGGTGTGAGATAGGTCCCGGGGCGCTGGGGCTGGAGGTGGTGGACACTCGAGGTGGCCAGTTATGCGTTACACGAAAGCAATCCGGTTAGGGGGTCTCGGAAGGGGCGGAGGGAACATCACTAGGTCTCTGAGAAGGGTGCTGGCCCCATTGCTGGGCGATGTATCCAGGGACGCTGAATTACTGGGTGCGGGGAGGGGGGGGGAGGGTGCCCACTGCTGGAAAGTTACTGCGAGATTCGAACGAACGCTGGAATAATACTGGGACTTTTCTGAGGGTGTTTCTGGCACCGTTAAGAGTACTCGTGGAAATTGGGGAGGGCGGGGAGGGGGGTACCCGTTAGACCCTACCTGGAAATCAGACACTACCTAGTCCCCCTGCCATCCTCGGGCGCACCTGTCTACCGTGGCGGAAACACCTGCCTGGAACGGGGAGGTAGGGGGATGGGAGTAGCAGAAAGTCGGGGACTGGCAGGAGCCGGTGGGGTACAGATCTTGGGAAAGTCGAGGGCTCGCGAACGACCCTCGAAGGGACGTCCCTCCAGTGCCGACTGAAACCCCGGACTCACCCAGGGACCTGGTAGCTGCGGTCCACTCTCGCCAACACCGCTAGCCTTCCGCTTGGCGCCGCAGGCGCGGCCCCTTTAAATTGCTCGCCGCAGGGCGCGCCGCAGCCCCGCCCCCGCCATGCTTGGAAGGTCGGGTCGGGGCCCGCCCTGTCGAGTGTGGCAGCGACTTAAAGGGCCCTAGACCAGCTTTCTACGGACGGCCAGCCCTCCCGCGAGAGATGAGCTAAGACGTTCGTTTTCCCTTTTATTAGCACCCATCCCCAGTGTCCGACCAACTGGCCCGGGGCCTGACCGGGCGCGGCAAAGGGTCTGATCTGTTTAAAGTCAAACTCTTAAAAATAAATAAGCGTGCGTCTCAGCAGTCCGATCGGAGTCCGGGCTTGGAGTCAATTCACCAGCAGGGAGTGTTCCTCGGAGGTGTCCCTGGAATGGGAGCGGGGCGACAGGATCAGCCTCTAAGGAAGGCGAGCAGTGCATCCATCCCGCTGGCCGCTGGCTGGCGTCCTCCCCTTCCTCCAGCCGCGTTGGGGGAACCCACCAGAAGAACCGAGACCCCCCCCCCCCCCCCCCCCGGATCGCACCTGCCGCAGCAGCAGAGGAGGCTGCAGGCGGAGCCGCTCCCGCGCCGGAATTTGCCAGAAGTGGGGCTGTCCTGGCACTGTGCAATGTAGGCCTGCAGCTCGCTCTGCTCGGCACCGCCACCTCCGGGGTGCTGGGTGGTGCAGGGAGGGGGGAGATGCAAGTAAGCCCCTTGGGAGCCCTGGGGGGTGCTTCCAAGCCCCTTCAGGTCAGCCTGTCCCTCCACCTCCTGTCCAGTCACCCTCTGGACAGGGCTCCTCCCTCTTCCTCCAGAACCACTTGCAGCAGGCTCTGCCCACGCCTGGGCACTGCCTCCTCCTGGTCCCTTTTTTTTTTCAATTTTTAAATTTTATTTTATTTTATTTTATTTTTTCTTTTTGGGTCACACCTGGCGGTGCACAGTGGTTACACCTGGCTCTGCACTCAGGTGTTACCCGCTGTGCTATCACTCCAGCCCCCTCCTGGCCTTTTTTTTTTTCTTTTTAGGTCACACCCGGCGATGCACAGGACCATGCAGGATCATGCACTCAGGAATTACCCCTGGCGGTGCTCAGGGGAGACCATATGGGATGCTGGGAATCGAACCTGGGTTGGCTGCATACAAGGCAGACACCCTCCCCGCTGTACTAGCGCTCCAGCCCCACCTCCTGGTCTTGCACCGTGTGCACGTAGCCCCATCTTTGGGGTGCGTGCCTTCTGATGTGTAACTACCGTGCAAAACACCTGCTGGGTAGCTGAGAACAACCTACTGTGTTGCAGGGGTAGGAGGAAAGGGCGGCAACTTCTGTGCTCCTGCATGCAAAGCAGACACAGGCTGTGGGAAGGCTGAATACAGGGACAGTGGGACAGGACCCATGAGCGTCCTTAGGGCTGAATGCCATGTGGCCACATATTGAGGGGAAGGGGGCTGGAGGAAGTATTTGTGCATGTATAACCTGAATGAATATTTTGATTTTTCACCCATGATCTATACCTTCCCAACCTTGGGGAAACCCATACTATCTCGCGCGCGTTTTTTTTTTTTTTTTTTTTTTTTGCTTTTTGGGTCACACCAGGAGATACTCAGGGGTTACTCCTGGCTCTGCACTCAGGAATTACTCCTGGCGGTGCTCGGGGGACCATATGGGGTGCTGGGAATCGAACCAGGGTCGGCCGCGTGCAAGGCAGACGCCCTACCCGCTGTGCTATCACTCCAGCCCCTGCTCTTTTTTTTTGTTTGTGATTGTTTTGTTTTGGGGCCACTCGCAGCAGTGTGCAGGGCTTACTCCTGTTTCTGAGGCACTCGGGTATCACTCCTAGGGAGTCTAAGGGAACTATATGCAGTGACAAGGAAGGAATACTATCCATGCTCTAGAGAGATAGCTCAATGGGCTGGAGCCCAGGCTTTGCACGAAGGAGGCTCGGGCTCAGTCCCTGGCATGGTCCCAGGAGCACTGTGTCAGGAGTAGCCCCGGAGCAGAGTTGGGTGTGCCTGCCCCCCTTTAAGAAAAGGATCCTGGGGATGGGTACTAGAGTGGGCAGGGTGCTTGCCTTGTCTGTGGCAGATCTAGGTTCGATTCCTGGCATCCCATATGGTTGGTGTCCCATCCCATATGGTTGGTAACCACCCCATAAGGTTACCTCCAGGATTAATTCCTGAGTGCAGAACCAGAAGTAACCCTTAACACCACCAGGTATGGCCCAAACCACCCCCCACCCTCCAAAAAAAATTCTGTTTACCAGCTGGGAGGAGATACTGCAAGTGAAGGGCGCATACAATCAAGCACAAGACCCCAAGTTCTACTGCCAAGCACTGCCAGGTATTGCCCTGGGGGGGTCCCTGAGCTCTACTGGGCCTCAGCATTGAAGCATCCAGCACAAGTGGCCAAAATGTTCCCTGGGGTAGCTCCAGGGGCCCCCCCTGCGTAGTGTTTGGGAACCCCACCCCCCCTAAAAAAAATAAAGCAAACAACCTAGAATCCTGAGTAGTGTTTGGGAACCCCACCCCCCCTAAAATAAAAAAAAGCAAACAACCTAGAATCCTGTCTACCTGCCACCCCCATATTCTGTTGAAATAATTGCTCTTCCGGGGATCCAAAGAGCCCCCCTAACCTGGGCTCTCCCCAGCAGAACTGAGGGATCAGGAGAAGGGGCTTCTAGAATCAGGCTGAGGCACAGCCTGGGGCTCAGTAGTTGACCTGGGGTCTCTGAGTTACAGAAAGTCTATTGGGGGGGAGTCTCCAGCTGGGAAAAAGCACTGAGAGGCCCCGGATGGGCGGGACAGGGTTGCCACCAACGTCGGACAGAGCCAAGAGCAAGTGTTCCCACACCCTGCTGGCCCCGCCCCATCACTAGGCCCCACCCACTTAAAGACCCCGCCCCTTCCCGGGCCCCACCCACTCAGCTGCCCGCTCCCGTTCCCGGGCCCCGCCCCTTTCCCAGGCCCCGCCCCTTTCCCCAGGCCCCGCCCCTTCTCCAGACCACGCCCCTTCCCCAGGCCCCGCCCCTTCCCCCAGGCCCCGCCCCTTCGCTGACCTTGATGGTGTCATAGGCGCCCGTGATGAGCGCAATGAACAGGCTGAGCACCATGTAGATGAAGAGGCTGATGAAGGAGTAGAGGTAGAGCTGGGAGAAGAGCCACACCAGGCCGCTGCGGCCCTGCTGCGCCTGCATGGCTGCGAACGTCACGAACATGTCGTCCCCGTTGATGAGCGAGAAGAGGCACTCGGACACCATGGACAGGGAGCGGAACTGCCGGAGAGCGGGACACGGCGAGTCAGGGGAGGCCGCGGGGGCGGGGCGGACCGTGGGCCACCGGCCCCATCACAAGGTCAAGGCCACCTTGGCCAGCGGGAGCCCAGGGTTCCGGCCCTGGCACCGCATGGTCCCTTGGGCACCTCTGGGGGCAGCTCCCGTGGGGAGGAAGGGTCACTCGAGAATCTGCAAGACTCCACGGGCCAGAAATGGGCCTTGAAGTCTAAGAGGTGGACTTGGAACAGAGACGACACAGAGGCTAAGGTGCTGCCCTTGCACACAGCCAACCCCAGCACCACAAGGTCCCCCCCGAGCACCTCCCCGGAGAGACCCCCAAGCAAAGAGTTGGGTGGAGACCCTGAACCATCATCAGGTGTGATCCAAAACCCAAAGAGAAGGAAAAGAAAAACCTCCACTGGAAAGGCGAAAATAATAGGGGCTGGAGCGATAGCACAGCGGGTAGGGCGTTTGCCTTGCACGTGGCCGACCTGGGTTCGATTCCCAGCATCCCATATGGTCCCCCGGGCACCACCAGGGTAATCCCTGAGTGCATGAGCCAGGAGTAACCCCTATGCGTCGCTGGGTGTGACCCAAAAAGCAAAAAAATAAAAAATAACTACTGTCTTCAATAACAAAGACTAAAAGTAAAAAAAAAAAATAGGCAAAAATAATAATCAGTTTAGGATCCAAAGGAGGGCACCTGGGTTAAGGAGCCAGTCTCGCACATCGTGGCTGACCCTGGCCAATCCCAGACGCTTCATGGCTCTGCCTTGCATTTAAGCTGATCCTAATTCAATTCCTGATAGCACATATGGTCTCCTGAGCACTACCAGGGGTCACTGGCGAGGGTCTGGGGGTGGGCTGGAGAGGCAGTGCAGCAGGTAGGCAGCAGCTAGTCTTGCACGTGGCTGACCCAGGTTCCAACCTCCCTGGCACCCCAGATGGTTCCCCCAGGCCCAGCAGGAGTGATCTCTGAGTGCAGGACAGCCGGCTCGCTCCCTACCTTCACGTGGTAGGGCCCCAGAACGATCCAGCCGCAGAAGCAGTAGCCCAGATAGATGACGGCCACGCAGCAGCAGAAGCGCATGACGCTGGGCAGGGCCACCCGCAGCGTGGCGATGAGGATCTGCAGTGCAGAAGGCACCGATGGGGCTTTAGGGCCAGGAGGGCCCAAGTGCCGGGGAGCGCAGGAGGGGTGGAGGGGAGGGCACCCCCTTCCCCCTGCCACGGCCTTACATTGTACTTGTGGAAGAAGGTCAGGTACCGGATGACGCCCACCCAGACGAGCAGCGTGGACGTGCCCAGGAGGATGCTGCAGACGTCATAGCTCGCCAGGTTCTGGGGGCGGAAAGTGTGGCTCAATTCCTTGGGGTCGGGGAGACGGCACTGCGAGGCTGTGCATGCTGCAGGGGTGCCCGGGTTTGAGCCCTGGCACTGCAAAGTCCCTCAAGCCTCCCCCAAAGAAGGCGCGACCCCATCCAGGAGGGCCCTGCCCCAGACAGGCAGCCTAAGTATGAAACCGGGGGGGCAGTAAGGAGAAGAAGATTCCGACGACTCCGCCCACCGCAGGCCCCACCCACAAACCTGCCCACCATTGGGCCAACCCACAGCCACTCACCACCGGCCCCACCCACTTCTGGCCACGCCCACAACCCTGCCCACCATCGGGCCAACCCACAGCCACTCACCACAGGCCCCGCCCACTTCTGGCCACGCCCATAACCCTGCCCACCATCGGGCCAACCCACAGCCACACCCACCACCGGCCACGCCCACAACCCTGCATACCATCGGGCCAACCCACAGCCACACCCACCACAGGCCCCACCCACCGCCGGCCACGCCCACAACCCTGCATACCATCGGGCCAACCCACAGCCACACCCACCACAGGCCCCACCCACCACAGGCCACGCCCACAACCCTGCCCACCATTGGGCCAAACCACAGCCACACCCACCGCAGGCCACACCCACAGCGCCCCATCCACAAAGGCCACACCCACTACCAGTTCAGATGACCACGCCCCCTGCATGTCCCCGCCCAGTGACGCATCCCCCCCAGGGCTCCACCTTGGCCTCGATGCCAATCTTCATGATGGTGCCCGTGATGGTCAGCACGTCGCTGGTGACCAGCAGAATGTACCAGCCGTTGACAAACTCCAGCCGCTCCCACAGGCTGATGACCCGGCCTCGCTGCCGCCACATGAAACTGACAAACTCCTGTGGGAAAGTCCGCCGGGAAGGGTCAGCGGCCAGTTTCATTGCTGGGCCCGGGGCCCCTCGGTGCATGAGCAGAGATTCTTGGCTACTCTGCCTTTAGGGATCCAGGAAGCCCCCTCCCGCCCCTTCTCTCACCCACACAAAATTGAGAGAGCCCTGTAACTATGCTCCTGTGACCTCTCTGGTGATTGCAGTGACAAAAGGGGGAAGGAAGGGTGGGAGGGATACTGGGATCATTGGTGGTGGCGAATGGGCACTGGTGGAGGGATGGGTACTCGATCTTTATATAACGGAAAAATTTGTAAGTCTACAACTGTACCTCATGGTGCTTCACTAATAAAAATTAAAAAAAAAAAGAATTTTAAAATTTTCAAATGAAAAAAAGGGGGGGGGGAAGGTGAATTAAAAATAAAACCCAGGGGGCTGGAGAGATAGCACAGTGGGTACGGCGTTTGCCTTGCATGCGGCCAACCCGGGTTCGATTCCCAGCATCCCATAGGGTCCCCTGAGCACCGCCAGAAGTAACCTGAGTGCAGAGCCAGGAGGAACCCCTGGGCATCGCCGGGTGTGACCCAAAAAGCAAAAAAAAAAAAAAAAAAAAAAAAAAAAAAAAAAAAATCCAGGGCTCGAGCAATAGTACAGCAGGTAAGGCACTTTGCCATGCACGTGGCTGACCGGGGTTCAACTGCTGGCTTCCTGAGCCTGGCAGAAGTGACTCTGAGCAACCCCTGAGCACTGCAGGGTGTGACCCTGAATATTGCCCCCCTTCCGGGGGGATACAAAAGCTAAAAGCCCCCAGGGGATCAGAAAGGTCTCAAAGGGCTGGAGTTTCAGCCCAGGTTTCATATGCGGGAGGCTCCGGTTCCACCCCTGTTACCGCAAGGTCCCCTGAGCACCACTGAGAGCAACCCCTGAGCACTGAGCTGGGAGTGCCACTGGCTATTGCCCCACACAAACAAAAGACCTCTTACTGGTGGCAGGGCTGGGGGGGAGAGCCCCCCACTGGCCTTCCCGTGCCCCCCGCCCTTACTGCCCGCCTGCTGGTCAGCCCTCCCCACGCTCCCGGAGCTGGGCTCACGGTCTGCAGCAGGAAGCCACGGAGCAGTGAGCGGGCGCAGAGCAGGAAGGAGAAGGAGCAGGTGAGGATGACAAGCATATCGAACAGGAGTCGGAAGCTGTTGTCACCTGTGAGGAGGGGCGAGAGGTAAGTGCGGGAGGCGGAGGGGCCGAGGAGGTGGAGGGGGGGCCCATGAACCAGGTGACTCGGGGTGCATCAAGGAGCTCGGTCAGTGCAGGGCCCGGATTCTGGGGCTCACCGTGCCGGAAGACGCTGGGGTGCTTACACTCCTGGATGTGGGCCTGGGTCTCGAGGCGGATGGGGACACGCCCGCTGTGTGCTTTATTGTCGAATGTGATCTGGGGAAGGGGACACGGCAGGACGGTTGGGGGACGGTTGGGGGACGGGGAGGAGGCGCCTGGGCTGAGCCGCTAGAGCCAGGGTCTGTGCGCTTGTCTCGCATGTGGTCGACCCGGGTTCGACGCCTGGCACCCCAAGGGATCCCCTGAGCATTGCCAGAAATGGCCCCTGCACGCAGAGCTAGGAGTCTGCCCTGAGCATCGCTGGGTGTGGCACAAAAATTAAATAAATGAAAGCAGCCTTGGGGCCTGAGAAATGATAGCACAGCTGGGAGGGCCCCAGCCTTGCACACAGACACCCAGGTTCAATCCCTGACATCCCCCATAGGATCCGATCCAATCGCCAAGAGTAATTCCGGAGGGGTTGGAGCGATAGCACAGCGGGGAGGGCGTTTGCCTTGCATGCGGCCAACCCAGGTTCGATTCCCAGCAACCATATGGTCCCCTGAGCACCACCAGGAGTAATTCCTGAGTGCAGAGCCAGGAGGAACCCTTGAGCAAGAACGTGTGTGGCCCCCAAACCAAACACCCCAAAAGGGAGCCTCTCATGATTGCATTCACCCATCATACCCCAGAAGGCTGGGAGGGGCTTCCCCGGAGGGCACCCCCCCTGCCTCTCCCGTGTGGTCTCACCAAGACGCTGAAGGTGTAGCAGTCGGGAATCTCGTTGTTGATGAGACTCTGCAGGTTGATGGTTTTCAGCTGGAAGTGGATGGTGACGTTGATCAGCCTGGGGGGGACGGGGGAGGCTCGGGTGAGAGGGGGGGGCTGTCCCCGGCGCCCCCTACTTCCCTGTCCCTGTGCCCCAAGCTGACTCGGCAGCAGCTGGAGGAAGTACTGAGCCTGCTCCTTGCAGCTGGTTAGGAAGGAACTGTCAGGGGGGGCCTGAGGACACCCGATGTCTTCCCTCTGCCCCCACCCCTGCCCCCCTATCCCGCCTCCCCCCCACCCCCTGGCTTGGGACGGAGGCGGAAATACTTGTGGAATTTGAGCGTGAGGTTCTTGTAACTGGCGCTGTTGTCCACGAAGGAGAAATCGTCCTCGGGGGGCACCGGGGGCCGCTCGGGGGGGTCCACCAGGATGCAGTCTGTGGACAAGGAGTCGGGGACAGCTGTGGGACTCACTTCCCTCTTACCAACTCACCACCCAGAATATGCCCTGCAGGACAGGCCCTGGGCAGAGTGTCCCACCCCCAACACACACCCAGTCATGGGGCCTGAGATGGGAGTGGAGGCGGGTTGGCAGGGGGTGTGGATTCACGTGGATTCACCGGACACATTCGTGGGGCTGATATGGGAAGTGTGTGTGTGGACAGGGTGTGGGCACCTTGCATTGTTGGGGGGGGGGTGGGGAGGACAGTGCCAGGATCGGAACCTGAGCCCAGCAGAGACCAAGAGTCCCAGGGGACTGCCATCCTCAGCAGAAACCACCAAGCACCTGAAGCCTTTATCCTTTTATTTTTTTTAGGGGGGGGGAGGGCACAACCAGTGGTGCTCCCAGTGGTGCTCAGGGCTACTCCTGACTCTACACTCAGAGATCACTCCTGGCGGAGCTTGGGGGTAGGGGATGATGACAAATCATACTGGCGTGCCAGGGATCAAACCTGGGTCGGCCACATTCTAAGCAAGCGCCCTCCTTGCTGTACTGTCACTGGACTCTTGAAATTTTCTTTTTTTTTGGGGGGGGAGGTGTTGGGGGGGGGTCACACCCAGCGGTTCTCAGGGCTGACTCCTGGCTCCACCTTCTTTTTTTTGGGGGGGGGGTGTCACACCCGGCAATGCACAGGGCTGACTCCTGGCTCTTGCGCTCAGGAATTACCCCTGGCAGTGCTCAGGGGGACCATATGGGATGCTGGGAATCGAACCCAGGTCGGCCGCGTGCAAGGCAAACGCCCTACCCGCTGTGCTATCGCTCCAGCCCCATGACTCCACTTTCTGATTGCTCCAGGATCACTCCCAGCAGAGTCTTGGCGGGGTATGTGTGTGTTTGTGTGTGTGTGTGGGGGGGGGGGGATGTCGCACCCTATGAGGTACCAGAGATGGAATCTGGGTGTGGACCTTGGGCAAGACAAAGGCGTTGTCTTCTGTACTTTAGCACCAACCGACTTTTTTTTTTCTTCTTTTTCCCGTTCTGGGGCAATAATGTTGGTTCAAAGGGGGTGTGGATTCACGTGGATTCACAGGACACATCTGGCTTGGGGCTGATACGGGACGTGTGTGTGTTTGTGTGTGTGTGTGTGTGTGTGTGTGTGGACAGTCGTTGGTCACTCCCCAGTGCTCCCACCCACAATTCAGCAGACCAGGCTGGAGAATCCCCAAACAGGCGCCTTGGAGATCTGAGCCTTTAATCCCCGGGGGCGTGGGGGGGGGGGGCTGCCCACTTACCCGCGACCACCAGGGGGTCGATGTCAAAGGTGTCGTTGGCCGGGTCCACGTGGCCGTGTCGGTAGTAGTGCTGGCAGAGGGCCAGGGCCGAGCCATTGGCCCCCGGCCCGCCCCCGCCGCGCACATAGGCGTAGCGGCCCAGGGACACTTCTGGGAGCAGCAGGTACTGGGCACAGAGCAAGTGATGGTGGGTCAGCGACCCTCTGAGTGCCCACCTGCCCTCACCCCCCCCCACCTCCACACTCTGCCCGCCACACCTGGTCCACGGCGTGGAAGATGGCCTGGTAGAGCTGCTCCCGCGTGTACACGGCCAGCGTCTCGTCCGCCCCGTCGGAGTAGCCCAGCAGGAAGAGATGGTGGAAGGCCACGGTGTTCTCCTCCCGGAAGGTCACGGCCAGTTGGTTGCTCAGTCCGAACAGGATGAGCTGGAGGGCGGGACGGTGCTGCCGGGCTGGAGCCTCTCTGCACACCCGTGGGGCGGCGGGGTTCCCCCTGGAGGGCACCGTTGCCCCCGCATGCCCAGCGCAAGGTGGGCAATGCCTCGAACTGCCTGCAGGCTTCATTCGTCTGGTGTTGCCGGAAACTGGGGTGCGGTCACCCAAACCCAGGGGATGAGGACTATTATGGGGTCCTTTTTTTAATCCCTGTATATTTTTGGGGGGAGTCACACCCAGCGATGCTCAGAGCTTACTCCTGACTCTGCACTCGGGAAGTACTCCTAGCAGAGCCCCCAGGGGACCCTCTGGAGTGTCTAGGATTGAACCCCCCGTCGGCCACATGCAAAGCAAGCACCCGCTGTAGTGTCTCTCCCACCCTAGGACATCTTGGGGCGGGGGGTTGATTTGTCTGTTTGGGGGCCACATCCGGAGGTACTCGGGGATGACTCCTGGCTCTGCGTTCAGGGAATCACTCCTTGTGGTACTCAGGGGATCCTACAGGATGCCGCGGATCAAACCCAGGTTGGCCGCATGCAAGGCAAATACCTGCTGTACTATGGCTCCAGCCTCCCTCAAATTCAAAAGAGAAAATTAAATTTTTAAAAATTAATACTCTGGGGGCTGGAGCGATAGCACAGCGGGGAGGGCGTTTGCCTTGCACGCGGCCGACCGGGGTTCGATTCCCAGCATCCCATATGGTCCCCTGAGCACCGCCAGGGGTAATTTCTGAGTGCAGAGCCAGGATTAACCCCCTGAGCGCCTTCGGGTGTGACCCAAAAAAACAAAACAAAACAAAACAAAACAAAAATACTCTGGGGGCTGGAGCGATAGCACAGCGGGTAGGGCGTTTGCCTTGCACGCGGCCGACCGGGGTTCGATTCCCAGCATCCCATATGGTCCCCCTGAGCACCGCCAGGAGTAACTCCTGAGTGCAGAGCCAGGAGTAACCCCTGTGTATCGCCGGGTATGACCCAAAAAGCAAAAAAAAAAAATAAATAAAAAAATAAAAAATAAATAAAAATTAATACTCTTGGGCCCTGCCACAGAGACGGGGGGATGGGATGGGAGGGATGGGGGGTGGGAGGGATACTGGGATCTGTGGTGGTGGGAAATGGGCACTGGTGGAGGGATGGGTATTGATCATTGTATAATTGAAACCCAAGCACAAAAATTTGTAAGTCTACAACTGTACCTCATGGTGTCTCATTAATAAAAATTAAAAAATAATAATAAAAAAATAAATTAAAAAAATTAATACTCTCAGGCTGGAGCGATAGCACAGCGGGTAGGGCGTTTGCCTTGCACGCGGCCGACCGGGGTTCGATTCCCAGCATCCCATAGGGTCCCCCGAGCACCGCCAGGAGGAATTCCTGAGTGCAGAGCCAGAAGTAACTTCTGTGCATCGCCGGGTGTGATCCCAAAAAGCAAATAAATAAACAAATCTGTCAAAAAACAATTAATACTCTTCGTTCAACTGTTTGAGGGACCCACTGGTGCCAGGGAAGGAACTTGGGGTTCCTGCATGTGTTCTTACACTTTGGAACAACCCCCCCAGCCCTCTTAGACGCTTTAGCCGAGGAGACATTAGAGGCTGCATCACGTGATCCCAATTTCTGCTCTCCACCTAATGAGAACATGGCAAGGTTTGATTCATCCTGGGGGTGCCCCAGAGCCTCAGCACAGGTTCTGGCCCAAGGGAGGGGAGAAGGGGGAGGGGGGTGAAGGAGAGTGGAGCATTTGAGCATCCACACAGCATCCAATGGCTTGGGTTCAAGTAGAACCCAGGCTTTATGTTTTTTTGTTTTGTTTTTTGCTTTTTGGGGTCACACCCGGCAATGCTCAGGGGTTACTCCTGGCTCTGCACTCAGGAGTTACTCCTGGCGGTGCTCAGGAGTAACCATGTGGGATGCTGTGATTCGAACCACGTGCATGGCAAACGCCCTACCCACTGTGCTATCACTCCAGCCCCTTCCACCTAAAATTTTAATGCCAGAAGCCCAATTATCACAGCAGCTATGTAAGGGAGGGTAACTTAGGAGCCCCAGTCTGGTATTTTTTGTTTGTCTCTCTTCTCTTTTTTTTTTCTTTTTTGGGTCACACCCAGCAATGCTCAGGGGTTACTCCTGGCTCTGCACTCAGGAATTACTCCTGACGGTGTTCAGGGGACCTTGTGGGATGCTGGGATTCGAACCTAGGTCGGCCACGTGCAAGGCAAATGCCCTACCTGCTGTGCTATCGCTCCAGCCCCAGAACCCAGGCTTTGCCACCTGCTGCGTCTGACTTGACTGCTGTGTAACTTTGGAAAACAGGTTTGACCTCTCTGGGCTTCTTCGGGTGCAGGTGCCAGTATCAACTCCAAGAACATTTGTTGACTACTTACCCATTTCTTTTTTTTTTCTTTGTTTTTTTTTTTTTGGGTCACACCCGGCGATGCACAGAGGTTACTCCTGCTTCATGCACTCAGGAATTACTCCTGGCGGTGCTCAGGGGACCATACGGGATGCTGGGAATCGAACCCGGGTTGGCCTCGTGCAAGGCAAACGCCCTACCCGCTGTGCCATCGCTCCAGCCCCTACTTATCCATTTCACCTGACGTCGCTCACCTGCACGGTCACCACCAAGATCTTCACCACCTGCAGCATCAGCTTGAAGGGCTTCCGGCCTTTGGCGCGAAACTTGTCACAGGGGCTCATGAAGAAGTACTTGAGACGGCGACGAAGGTCTTCCTCTTCCGGTGCGCCGGGCGGAGCCGGCGGCGAGGCCCCCGCCTGGGTCCCATACCCGGGGCTGGGGGTCAGGAGACGCTCGGTCTCTGTGGGGATACGAAAGCCCAATGGGGACCAGATCCCCGGCAGAGATGGGGAGGCAGGACCCGGCATCTCCCCGGCAGCTCCCTTGACCCAGAGTAAAGCTTCGCCCAGATTAAAGCTTCAGTAATTCTGCAGCTGTTTCTGGAGGTCTTCGGCTCTCCACACTCTCCACACGCATAAAGGTACCGGCAGAGGAACAGAGGCATGCGGATCCCGGGGCTGAGATCTCCAAACCTGCTCGGATCGGGGCTGAGCATCCTCCACCCAGATCTTCCATCTTCCAGGAGGCAGGGGTCACACCCACCAAGTGGCCCCGTGGAGTCGTGTAATCCCATCAACGGCCAAGACCCAGAGACTATAAAACCCAGCTCCCGGAAGCGCGCAGCCACATTTGCGGCCGCGGGACATCTTATTATCTCATTCTTACTTTGGACAAACTGGCAGGCTACCGAATTTAACCTGCTCACACGGCAGAGTCTGGCAAACTCCCCGTGGCGTCCCCAATATGCCAAATACCAGTAACAATGATGGGTTTCATTCTCCTAACCCTGAAAGAGCCTTGAATATGGCACTTTAAAAAAAAAAACTCAGGGCTAGGAGGAAGGAGACGTTACTGGGGCCTGCTCGAGGCAATCGACGAACAACAGGATGGTCATGATCTTGATTGCGAATTCTGCAGCATGGCCAAGGGGCTGGGTCATGAGCCAAGGGGGTCAGGGTGGAGACGGGTCAGTGGGGAGATAGTTTGGTGGACCAGATTGCAGGCTTTGGGGTTGGAGCAATAGTACAGTGGGTCAGGCATCAAGTTGGATCCCCCAGCACCCCTAGGAGGGATTCCTGAGTGCAGAGCCAGGAGTAATCCCCTGGGCATCGCGCTGGGTGTGGCCCGCAAACAAACAAAGAAAAAAAACAAACAAATAAAACCAGATCTGCAGATCTTACCCAGGTTCAATCTCTTCCCACACCTACACACTATCAGGTGAAGCCCCCAAGCCATAAACAAACCAAAAACGAATAAATAAATGAACTCCACTGGCCAAGCAGCTGAGAAGCCCCTGGTTACAAAGATGCCCTGGTTACAAAAATCCCCGTGCGGAGAAATTGTATGGGGGCTACGGGGCTTCCCTTGTGGTCCGCTGGCTCTGACGCTGGCTCTGATTCCATCCCCAGCACCACGTATGGTACCCCCAGTATCACCAGGGGTCGTACCCCAGAGTCAGGACTAGCACTGTTCTCCCGTTGTTCATCGATTTGCTCCAGCGGGCACCAGTAACGTCTCCATTGTGAGACTTGTTGTTACTGTTTTTGGCATATCGAATACACCCCGGGGAGCTGGCCAGGCTCTGCCGTGCAGGCGGATACTCTCGGTAGCTGCCGGGCTCTCGGAGAGGGACGAAGGAATCGAACCTGGATCGGCTGTGTGCAAGGCAAACACCCTACCCACTGTGCTATCGCTCCAGCCCAAGTCAGGTGTTTAAAAAACTGCCAAGGGGCTGGAGCGATAGCACAGCGGGTAGGGCGTTTGCCTTGCACGCGGCCGACCTGGGTTCGATTGTCAGCATCCCATATGGTCCCCAGAGCACTGCCAGGAGTAATTACTGAGTGCATGAGCCAGGAATAACCCCTGTGCATCGCCGGGTGTGACCCAAAAAGCATAAATAAATAAATAAATGAAAAACTGGGAAGGGATTCAGAGATAAGACAAGACAGGATAAGACAGCGGGGAGGGCACAGGGATGCTTGCCTTGCATGCTGCGGACCCCCTGGGCACTCCCCTGAGCCCACCAGGAGTGATCCCTGAGTGCAGAATCAGGAGTAAGTCCTGAGCATAGCCGGTGTGACCCAAAAACCATCAAAAACCAAAAAAAACCTTCCAGGAGTCAGAGCCATAGAACAGTGTGTGTGTTTGGGGCCCGGGGGGGGGGGGGGGGAGGGCTTTCCTAGCACATGGCATTTGTTGGTAGCATCCCTTATAGTGCTCCAGGCACAGAGCCAGGAGTAAGCCCCGCTGGCTGTGGTTCCCAAGCCAAAAAGTCAAGAAATAAAATTAGCTGCCGGACCGGAAAAACAGTACAGTGGAGAGGGCATTTGTCTTGAACGTGGCCAACCTGGGCTCATTTCCCAGCATCCCATTGGGTCCCCAGAGCACCGCCAGGAATGATCCCTGAGTGCAGAGCCAAGAGTAACCCCTGAGAAATGTCGGGTATGGCCCCACAGGAAAAATACACTGCCTGTTATGTTTATGAGTAGTTTTTTATTTATTATTATTATTTTTTTCCTTTTTGGGTCACACCCAGCGATGCACAGGGGTTATTCCTGGCTCTGCAGTCAGGAATTACTCCTGGTGGTGCTCGGAGGACCACGTGGGATGCTGGAAATCGAACCCGGGTCGGTCGGCCGCGTGTGAGGCAAACGCCCTACCCGCTGTGCTATTGCTCCAGCCCCAGTGAGTAACTTTTTATTTATTATTATTATTTTTTCCTTATTGGGTCACACCCGGCAATGCACACACTCAGGAATGACTCCTGGTGGTGCTCAGGGGACCATAAGGGATGCTGGGAATCGAACCCGGGTCGGGCCGCGTGCGAGGCAAACGCCCCACCCGCTCTGCTATCGCGCCAGCCCCCGTGAGTAGCTTTTTCATCCCCCACACAAGCACTGGGAAGTCACACAACCCTAGGACCAAATTCCAGACCTGTCACTTCCCTGTCAGGTGACTGGGGCAAACGTCTAGGCAAGTCTGATCCTCTGAAAAGCCGTGCAAAGGAACATCACGAAATAAATAAACCAAAACAAGTACCAATGTTTTTGGCAGGGGTGGACGTGAGGATTCAGGGAGCGCCAAGCAGTGCCAGGGGACAGACAGGGGCTGCAGCTACTCCCAGAGATACGGGGTCACCCGAGGCAGGAGTTCAGTGCTAAGCCCCAACGGTATGACACTGTGGAGTCCCCCCAGAGCTGTACTCCGAAATGCTAAGGTCATGTGATGCCAAGGCGGGACTCCAGTCTGGTACATGCAAAACCACGTCCCCTGACCACTGAGTTCCCCGGTCTCCTCCAGTCTCATTCTCGAGTAAGCTGAGATTTTCAAATCCAGCCAGTCTGTGAACTGGAGCCAAAGCTTCCTTCACTTGGGATCAGAGGACCTTCTCAGCAGCCCCTCTCTGACATCCTGGGGACCACCCCTACATACACACACACACACACACACACACACACACACACACACACGGGGACTGGGAGGACCTTGCTTAGCAAAGGCACCCAGAGGAATGTGGACACTCTCAGAACCTGTCCTGGGAGGGACGGCAGCGGGCTGATCCCTTGGGAACCAGCCAGATCCCACATACTTTTGCAGTGACTGTGTACAAGAAAGCTTGGATGAACGCCGGCGGTGGGGGTGGGTGGGGGTGGGGAGAGGGGGGTCGGCTGGTCCCGCCGACCCTGCCATCCCATGCACCACTTCAAAAAATCGACCAGAATCGGGGCCAGAGATCAAGACGACAGAAAGGCTCTTCAGGGGCTGGAGCAAGAGCACAGGGGTAGGGCGTTTGCCTTGCAGGTAGAAGACCTGAGTTCGATTCCCAGCATCCCATAGGGTTCCCTGAGCACTGCCAGGAGTAATTTCTGAGTGCAGAGTCAGGAATAACCCCTGTGCATTGCCGGGTGTGACCCAAAAAGCGAAAAACAAAAACAAAAACTGGGGGCTGGAGCGATAGCACAGCGGGTAGGGCATTTGCCTTGCATGCATCCAACCCGGGTTCGATTCCCAGCATCCCATATAGTCCCCAGAACACTGCCAGGAGTGATTCCTGAGTGCAGAGCCTGGAGTAACCCCTGTGCATTGCCGGGTGTAACCCAAAAAGCAAAAAAAAAAAAAAAAAAAAGAAAAAAAAAGAAAAAGAAAAAAAAAAAGCGACGTCCCGGGGCGGCCCTGCCTTCGGGGAATCTGACATTGAGTTTGACACCTGCATTGCCTACAGCGCTCGGGCTAAATCTCGAGCGGCTCCCGGCCTCGACTCCCGAGTCGCGAGCCTGATTCGGGGTTGGGAAAAAAAAATAAATAAATAAAAAATAAAAAAGCTGCAGCCAGCTTGTTTCGGTTCCAGCGCACGGTGAGCGATGCCAGCCCGGGCTGGGGATGGGACGGCCGGGAAGTCCGGGGATGCTGGCGGGCTGCCCGCTGGCCTGGTTTGGGGGGCTCAGAGCGGGGCTTGGGGTCCGGCCGGCTGGGAATCCGGAGTCCCGACGCCCCCCCTTATCCCGGGAGCTGCTGGAGCCGCCGATCGGCCCCGGATTCGGGGCGCAGCCAGGACCGAGCACCAGCCAGGCTCCCCCGCGCCAGGCGGACCAGCTGGCTGCCCGCCCGCCTCCCGCGTCCTCGGGGCCCCCCAAGAGGCCGCCCGCGCCCTCACCTGAGCCGCGCCGCCCCGCGGAGGCTGCCATGCCCGGGCCGGAGCGCCGGACCCCGGCGGGCGCGGCGGGGCAGCCTCGGTCCAGCCGCTGTCACCGCGGCCTCGCTCCCTGGCGGCGCCGCTTCAAACCCTCCCGCATCAGCTGACTCGCGCCGCCGTCACGTGACACGAGAGCCCGCCCCTGCGCAGCACGTGACCGGGCGAAGCTCCGCCCTCGGCCGAACAGGGTCGCGCCTCCGCGGGCGGCTTTGGGGCCGAGGGTGGGCGCGGGGTCCTAGCGCCGATCGGCCAAGCTGGGGTGGTGCAAAGCGTGTTGGCTTTGCCTGTGTCCAGCGCCGCTTCTGGAATTCCTTGTCCAGGGCTTGCTTGACCTCTCTTCCCCTCTGCGGCGTCTCTTATGTCTGTTCTCTCCCAGGACTGCCCACCGGTACCTGATCCTCCCCCAAATCCTTTTCCACCTGTCTCATCCAAACTACCGCCAAGGGGCTGGAGTGATAGTACAGCCGGTAGGGCGTTTGTCTTGCACGGGGCGCGACCCGGGTTCGATTCCCAGCATCCCATATGGTCCCCCGAGCACGGACAGGAGTAATTCCTGAGTGCATGAGCCAGGAGTAACCCCTGTGCATCGCTGGGTGTGACCCAAAAAGCAAAAAAAAAAAAAAAAACCAAAAGCACACACACACAAAAAAACTACCTACCGCCAAATCCTAGTTTCATTTCCTTAGTATGTCCAACACTTCTGTGATCATTCAGAGACTCAGAGTTCTCCGGGATCAGACTCCGACCCAGTAACAACTGGCTCTCATCTGTGATCATTCAGAGACTCAGAGAACCCTGGGATCAGACTCCAGCCCAGTAACAACTGGCGGGGAGGGTGTTTGCCTTGAACACAATTGATCCGGGCTCCACGTAGGGCCCAGAGAGCATCGCTCGGAATGATCCTTGAGCCAAGAGTAAGGCCTGAACATCCCCCATGTGTTGTCCACCAAGGAAAGTAGTTCCAGAGCTGGAGAGATAATACAGTGGGTAAGGTGCTTGCCTTGCATGCAGTAGACCTGGGTTGGATCTGCAGGGTACCAGAGGGTCCCCTGAGCACCATCAGGAGTGATCCCTGAGTGCAGAGTTAGGAGTCAGCCCAGAGTCAAAATAAGAAAGGAAAAGTCCCTATTCTCTAGGAGGGAATCTCTGTTCTTCCCTCACTCATCCTTCAGTGCTCCAGACTCTTTGCACTCAGGAATCCAGGCTCTGGAGACCAGGGAGATAGTGGCTCAGAGGTCTGAAGCTCATGCCTATCATACATGAGACCTTGAATTTGGTCCCTAGTATCAATTAACTACCTGATCACATAGTATAGGGGCTGGATTGAGGAGGGCATTCTGAATTCAGGACGGCCAACCTGAATTTGATCCCCGACATCCCATGTGGTTCCCTGAGAACTTCCAAGAGTGATTCCCCGGTACAGGACCAGGAGTAAGCCCTGGGTGTGACCCAAACCCCTCCCTGCAAAAAAAAAGGGGGGGGGTCTCTGGAAGGTAGGCAATTCAGAGGGGTTTTTTGTTTTTTGAGGACAGTCACGTTAGGGGTGCTCAGGGGCTATTTTCTCATGCTAGGGTGACCATGGGGTATTAGAGCTCAAACCTGGGCCCTGATACCTGACATGCACTCTCCTTGACCCAACAATTTAGGTTAAAAAGTAGATGCAGGGCTGGAATGATAGTTCAGCAGTTAGTGCATTTGCCTTGCACCTCTGTCGACCCAGGTTCAATTCCCAGCGTTCCATATGGTCCCCTGAGCACTGCTAGGGATAATTCTTGAGTAGTGCAAAGTCAGGAGTGACTCTGAGCATCGCTGGGTGTGACCCAAAAAGCCAAAAAAAAAAGCAGATAAGTAGATGTTGGGTCTGGAGGGATAGGAAAGGTGCCTGCCTTGCATGTAGCTGACCAGGGTTTGATCCCTGACATCCCATATGGTCCTCTATGCACCACCAGGAGTAATTTCTGAGTGCAGTGCCACTCAGTGCCAGGAGTAACCCCTGAGCACTGTGGGTGTGGCTCAAAAGGAAAAAAGTGGGTGCAGGTGGGACCAGAGACATAGTACAGCGGGTTGTTGTGTGTGCTTTGCATGCGGCTGACACAGGTTTGATCCCTGGCATCGCATATGGTCTCCTGAGTCCACCAGAAGTAATCCCTGAGGACAGAGTCAAGAGTTATTCCTGAACACCAATGGATGTGGCGCCCCCCCATACACACAAAAAAGTAGGTGTTGGGGCTGGAGATATATACAGGGTTAAGGTTATAGGAAGTTGCCTTGAATGCAGTCAAAATTTGTTCAACCCTTGGAACTGCGTATGGTCCCCCCCAAACCCTGAGCACTGCCAGGTGTATCCCCCCACAAAAAAAAATAATTAACAATAAAACGGGCCCAGAGAGATAGTACAGCACACAGCCATTTGCCTTGCAGGCAGCCAACCTGGGTTCAATCCTCGGCATCCTATATGGTCCCTCGAGCACTGCCAGAAGTGATTCCTGAGTGCACAGTCAGGAGTAAGCCCTGAGTATCTCTGGGTGTGGCCTCCCCCCCCCCAATTTTTTTAAGTAAATAAATTCTAGCTGCTGGGACTGGAGAGGTTTACTGGGGTTCAGGCATGTGTCTGGAGGGCAGCTGACCCTAGTTCGACTTCCCAGCACCATTTACGATCTCCTGAGCACAGAATCAAAGCTAGCCCTTGACCACTTACAGGTACAGTGGAACCCCAAAAAGTTAATATTTTCAAAATTTGGAAAGTAGGTGTCGCCAACTACATGTCTGTATCTTCCAGAGTGCTCTAAACTCCATGTGCCTGTTTCCTAATTTGCAAATGAGATAACTCAGTGACAGCTTCTAAATAGTTAAATGCAGGGATGCCGCCGATCAAGGTTTGACCCCCGCATCTCATATGACCTCTGCTGAGTCCTGCCCGAAAGGGATTCCTGAGCACAGAGCCAGGAGTAACCCCTGAACATCTCCAGGTGTGCCCCCGCTCCAAAAAAAACACCCCATAAAAACTGTTCCTGGGACCGGAACGATAGTACAGCAGGTAGGGCGTTTGCCCTGCATGAGGCTGATCCGGGTTCAATCCCCGGCATCCCATATGGTTCCCCCAAGCACCACCAGGAGTGATTCCTGAGTGCAGAGGCAGGAGTGACCCCTGAGCATTGCTGGGTGTGACCCAAAAAGCAAAATAAATAAATAAACTGTTCCTGATGGTCACTGCTGGGTGTGGTCTTGGCGTCCCTAGCACTGCCAGCTGGAATACTGGAGGACAGGCACTGGGGAGATGGCACTTGCCTGGCACATGGCCACAACCCCGCTTCCACCAATTCCTAGCCACGTATGGTCTCCCAGGCACTGCCAGAAGTGATCCCGGAGCACAGGGCCAGAAGGGCACAGCTGGGGGACCCCAAAAACAAAACCGCCCAATCCCACAAAACGTCAGCGGTCCAGATAAAACCATCGACAAGGCAAAACCTTGCTCTTCCGTCCAAGAGATCCTGGCCCCGGGGCGCGGGGGGGAGCCGAGTGGTGCTGAGGAAGTAGGACCAATAAGAGACTGAGTGGGAAGCCTGGCGGACTGCCGGGGAGAGGAAGCCCTGACACTGGCGCTGCAGAGGTAGAGCTGGTCCAGGCAACAACCCGCACCGCCGGAGGTTGGGGCTGCGAATCGGGTCAGGAAGAGAACCAGGACACAGAGCCAAGAGGCAGTGGGAGGAGTTTACTAACTGCACGACACACAATTCCCCGCTCCCGGGCGGGCCGGCCGGTGTCCCCCCGCCCCAAAAAAAAAAAACACACCATCGTCAGCCATCCGGCCCCAGCAGCGCCCCTGGCTCCTGTTGCCAATCGGGACTCTCCCCGTTGGGGGGCGCCGCGGGGCTGCCCGGGTGGTGGGCGGGAGACCCCGACTCTGAGCCGGGCTGGGGCTGGGGGCTGGGCACCGGGCTCCAGGCAGCATCCCCGCGATCGGACGTGGCATCCGGCCGGGGTTTGGGCTCAGACGACCCGGGGCGCAGCTCGGGGGCGCACGGGAGACGGGCTTGGGGAGGCGAGCCCGGCCCGGAGCTGGGGCCCAGAGCCGGGCCGAGCACGGACGAGCCCGGCCCGGGTCGCAGCCCCGAAGCCGGGCTCAGCGCCGCCGCTGCTGCGGCCGCCGCTGCGGCCGCGCCCTCGTGCACCCGCTTGTGCTTGGTGAGGCTGGAGGCCTGGCCGAAGGCTTTGCCGCACAGCTGGCAGCGGTAGGGGCGCTCCCCGGAATGCACGTGCAGGTGCTGCAGCAGCGCCGAGCTCTGGCCGAAGGCCTTGGAGCAGTGCGGGCAGGCGTAGGGCCGCTCGCCGGTGTGGATGCGGAGGTGGTGCTGCAGGTTGGAGCTCTGGCCGAAGGCCTTGCCGCAGTGCGGGCAGCGGTAGGGCCGCTCGGCCGTGTGCGTGCGCTGGTGCTGCAGGAGCGCCGAGCTCTGCCCGAAGGCCTTGCCGCACTGCGGGCACGGGTAGGGCCGCTCGCCCGTGTGCGTGCGCAGGTGCTTGAGCAGGGCCGAACCCTGCCCGAAGCCCTTGGCGCACACGGGGCACTTGTGCGGCCGCGGGCCCCCGTGCGTGCGCAGGTGCTGCGCCAGCAGCGAGCCGTGGCCGAAGGCCTTGCCGCACACCGGGCAGTGGTGCGGCTTCTCCCCGCTGTGGCTGCTGCGGTGTTTGAGCAGCGTGGAGCGCCAGCCGAACGCCTTGCCGCACGCGGCGCACTGGTAGGGCCGCGCGCCGGTGTGGATGCCCCGGTGCTGCGCCAGCGTGGCACCGTGGCTGAAGGACTTGCCGCAGTCCGGGCAGCGGTAGGGTTTCTCCCCGCTGTGCGTGCGGCGGTGCTGGCTCAGCCCCGAGCTGCGGCGGAAGGCGCGGCCGCAGTCCGGGCAGCAGAAAGGCCGAGGCGGGCTGGCGGGCGCGGGCAGCGCGGCGGGGCCCGCGCCGGTGCCAGGTGGCACGGGGCTGCGCGCGTCCCCGTCATCGGAGGCGCCGGCCAGGGGGTCCGAATCCGGGGCGGGCGCGGGGCTGCTGAGGGTCTCGCTGTCGGGGTCGAGGATCAGGGGCACCGGGCCGATGACGTCGGGGTCCGGGTCGGAATCCTGAGGGTCCGCGTCGGCGGGGATGGGGAGGGCGCTCGGGGGCGCTGGGGAGTCCGGGTGGGGGACGGGGTCCGCATCGTCAGAGCTGGCGTCCTCCGGGTCTTCGGGGAGCAGCGGGCTCGGCTCCCCTTCCCGCGTGGGGTCCGGGTCGGAGTCGGAATCGAGATCTCCTGGCGGGGGGTTCTGCTGCCCTCCGTGGCGGGGGTTTCTCACCAGGACGGAGCGCCGCATGCTGCCACGCGGCGGGGTGCCCGCGCCTTCCAGGACACAATCTGGAAGGGAATGCAGATAGAGTGGGTAGAGGCACGTTTGGGGCAAGGAGCAGAAGTGGGCGGGGAGGGGGTCTGTTTGGGAGTCTGGGCATGGAGGGAAGGGGGCCCACCACGCCCCATCAGTCTCCAGAATCTACGTGATGCTCAGGGGTTACTCCTGGCTCATGCACTCAGGAACTACTCCTGGCAGTGCTCAGGGGGCCATATGGGATGCTGGGAATCGAACCCAGGTCGGCCACGTGCAAGACAAACGCCCTACCCGCTGTGCTATCGCTCCAGCCCCCTTGATAGAATTATTGCTTTGTTCCCTAGGGTGCTCTGGACCATGTCATGAAGGCGCGGACCCCAAGTTCCTACATGGAAACCCTCAGCTCTCATTCAGGGACGGAGTGATCCAACGGTGACTAGGATGCTTGCCTTGCTAGTGGCCGACCTGGATTTGATCCCCGGCACCCCATGTGAACCCCCAAATTCCCTGTCAGAAGTGACCCCTGAGTGCAGAGGCAGAAGACACCACTGAGAGTGGCCCCCAAACAAACAAACAAAAAACCCTGAGCTCGGGGGCTGGAGAGATAGCACAGCGGGTAGGGTGTTTGCCTTGCACGCAGCCGACCCGGGTTCGATTCCCAGCATCCCATATAGTCCCCTGAGCACTGCCAGGAGTAACTCCTGAGTGCATGAGCCAGGAGTAACCCCTGTGCATTGCCGGGTGTGACTCAAAAAGGAAAAAAAAATAAGAAAAAACCCTGAACTCTCTAATTTCCAACTTCAGATCCTTCCTGTCTTAGAACCCGGGGAAATTCTTGTTTTTTCTTTTTCTTTTTGGATCACACCTGGCAATGCACAGGGGTTACTCCTGGCTCTGCACTCAGGAATTACTCCTGGCAGTGATCCGGGGACCATATGTTTGCAAGGCAAATGCCCTACCCGCTGTGCTATCGCTCCAGCCCCAGAACCCAGGGAAATTCTTGGCTCGCCATAGACAGGACGGGAAGGAGGAGGGCCCCGGTGGGCAAGGGGGACCCTCCCTTCTCAGTTCCACACCTGTAAGGTGCTCAGGGGAGCCGGCCATAAAGATCTGTGATCCCCAACTTCAAGGCTCTGCCCTTCTGTCCATGCTGGGCTCCCCACCCGAGAAGTTGGGGTCCTGTGGAGGTCTCCCCCGTTCTAGTCGTGTGGGAAAGCTGGGGGGGGTCAGGTTCCCGTGCTGGCTCACAGCTGGGGGACCATGCTCAGGGGTCCTGGCCTCGAAGGGGGGTTCTCTATCTCTGGGGTTTTGGCGCCTATGTCGAAGGGTGGCTGGAACCACATCTGGCTGTCTTCTTGGGTCACTGGGGACACTCAGGGGCATCCTGGGACTGCTTTCTAGGGAACCGAGTACTTGAAGGCCAGACATCACAGTTCCAGCCTGGCAGTCAATGTTAAGAACCTGGGGCACAAAGTACCCTTGCGTGTCCCCACCCCCAATGACAAAATGTTAAGAATCCCTATCCTTCTATATTCATAAATTCATATTCTTTTTTCTTCTTTTTGGGTCACACCTGGCGATGCACATGGGTTACTCCTGGCTCTGGACTCAGGAACCACTCCTGTCGGTGCTCAGGGGACCCTATGGGATGCTGGGAATCGAACCCGGGTCGGCCACATGCAAGGCAAACACCCTACCTGCTGTGCTATCGCTCCAGCCCCAATAGGCTACTTTTTGTTTGTTTGTTTATTTGTTTTTGGGTCACACCTGGCCATGCTCAGGGGTTCCTCCTGGCTCTGCGCTCAGGAATTACTCCTGGCGGTGCTCCGGGACCCTATGGGATGCTGGGGATCAAACCCACGTCGGCTGTGTGCAAGGTAAATGCTCCGGCCCCTACAACCTATTTTTTGGTTTGGTTTGGGTCACACCCGGAGGGGCTCAGGGCTCACTTTTGGCAGGGCTCTTTGGAATGCCTGGGATCAAACCTGGCAAATATAGTTCCCGTTGCATGCGATACTTTAAGGCCAGAGGGGGGTTGGGGAGGAAAGATGTGGGAGCCCACTGGGTGGAGGCGAGAAAGTGGGGGGAAGGGAGAGTTGTGGGTCCACTTGTTTGCCCAAGTGGATGGAAGAAGCTGACTCCTCAGCCCTGGCCATTGGGGGATAACAATCATGTTCCTGTTGGGTTATTGGGGGGACCCCTGTGGCCTCTCTCAGGAAGGGAAGATTCCTGGGGCTCAGGGCTGCACATCAGGGTGCCTTTGCCCCTCCTCAAAGACGGATCCTGAATTCTGGCCCACCAGGGTTGGAGCTGGGAGAAAGAGAGAGAGGATGGGGGAGACAGAGAGAACAAATTCTATGGGGGAGCCTGCCCCCCCAGGAGCAGAATGACCCCCTACAGGTAAGCTATGTGCCTTGAGTTACCCTCCCTCTTGCTGGGCAGTGGCGGGGTGGGGGTGGGGTGGGCGTCAAAGCAACAGATGGGTTTCTGAGCCAGGAGGGTGGCTGACTCCCCACTGGGGAACCCACGGAAACTCCATACTGGGGTGCTGCGCAAGCAGGCTGAGCGCCGAGGGGTACAGTGTGGGGGGTTGAAGTGCACGGGGGGGGGGGGTCCCCTCCTGCATTCCAGGAGGGCAATGCAGGGGTCTCTGAGATCATCTCCCGATTTCCTACCTCTAAGCTGGAAGGAGACACAAGTGGGGTTCTGTGGAATAACCAGGGGAGCAGGTGGACCCCCCCCCCCCAAAATAAATCACCTTCTGGGGACGACGGGGCTTGCAGAAACTCTGCAACCCGGCTGGCGAGCGAGCGAGCGAGACGAACAATGAGTAGAGAGAGAAAAGGGGGAGCTCTGGTCCCCCTCCGGGAGGCCTCCTGAACTCCCGGCCCCAGGCTGGAGGAGGGGGGAAGAACAATGCCTGGGGTCCTTCTGGGGTGCCAGAGCGCCCCCAGGGCCCAGGGGAGGCACCGCTCTGCCTCCCGCTCCCCGAAGCGGCCTGGTCGACCCCCGCCGGCCACGACCCCCCTCCGGAGCCCCAGATCTCTCCGTCCCCGGGGCCGAGGCGGCCAGGCCCACCCCCTCGGGGGCCGCGCTAGGCCGCTGGACCGCGCGCCCCCTCCCACCGCGTCCCGATCCCCGCCCCCGACCCCCCGATCTCCCGCAGGCGGGGGCCGAATAGAGGTCGCCCCGGGCCGCGCCCCGCGGGCCCCCCCCTCCCCGCACCCCTCGCACCCCGACCCCCTCCCCGCCCGGCCGGTCCGGTCCGGGGGACACTCACCCGGCGCCCCTCGCCCCTGCCCGGCCGCCGGCGCCCCCCGGGCCTGCAGGAAGCCCCCCGCCCGCCAGCCCCGCCGGCGGCCCCCTCGGCCCAGCGGCCCCGCCAGGCGCTCCCGGGGAGCCAGAGGGGCCGGCCGAGGGCCGCAGCGGGAGCTGCTGGGACTTGTAGTCCAGCCGCGCCGCCACCGCTGCCCCCGCCCCCCGGGCAGCCTTTGTCCGCGCCCCGCCGCCCCGACGCCCCGACGCCCCGACGCCCGCCCGCCGGCCGCGCCGCGCCCCGGGCCCCGCGCCCTCTCGGCACCCCCGCTCCGGCCCGCCTGCAGCTCCCGGCTCCGCCCTGAGCGTCCTGGGTCTCCCTCCACCTCCTCGCTTGGCTTTTTGGTTTTGCTTTTTGCTTTTTGGGTCACACCTGGCGATGCACTGGGGGTTACTCCTGGCTCTGCACTCAGGAGTTACTCCTGGCGGTGCTCAGGGGACCAGATGGGATGCTGGGAATCGAACCCGGGTCGGCCGCGTGCAAGGCAACCGCCCTACCCGTTGTGCTTTTTTTTTTTTTGCTTTTTGGGTCACACCTGGTGATGCACTGGGGGTTACTTCTGGCTCTGCATTCAGGAGTTACTCCTGGCGGTGCTCAGGGGACCCTAGGGGATGCTGGGAATCGAACCCGGGCCGGCCGCGTGCAAGGCAACCGCCCTACCCGTTGTGCTATCTCTCCAGCCCCTGCACTTTTTTTTTTTTTTTGCTTTTTGGGTCACACCTGGCGATGCACGGGGGTTACTCCTGGCTCTGCACTCAGGAGTTACTCCTGGCGGTGCTCAGGGGACCCTATGGGATGCTGGGAATCGAACCCGGGTCGGCCGCGTGCAAGGCAACCGCCCTACCCGTTGTGCTATGGCTCCAGCCCCTATCTTTAATTTGAAGGCCACGCTGGCGATGCTCAGGGGTTCCTCCTGGCTCTGCACTCAGGAATTACTCCTGGTGGTGCTGGGGGTTGGGGGCGGGGCATGTGGGATGCTGGGAATCGAACCCGGGTCGGCTGCATGCAAGGCAAACACCCTACCCGCTGTGCTATCTCTCCTGCCCCTCCTTGCCTGGTTTTGCTTTGTGCTCCTTGTCTGCCCCCTAATCTGCTGTCTCTTCCCCCCCCCATTTCTCTTTCTGTCTCTCTGTCTCTGTCTCTCTGTCTCAGTTTTCTTTTCTCCTTTTGGGTCACACCCAACAGTGCTCAGGGCTCAGGGATGGCTCCTGGCAGGGTTCGGGAACCCTATGCAGTCCCAGGGTTTGAACCTAGGTGGGCTGTGTGCCAGGCAAGTGCCCTCCCCACCACTGTGCTTTCTCTCCTGCCCCGTGGTCCAAAAAAAATGTTTTTATATTCTTCAGCCCTAAACCATCTCTGGATTCATCTCTCTCTCTCTCTCTCTCTCTCTCTCTCTCTCTTTCTCTCTCTCTCTCACACACACACACACACACTCAGTCTCTCATGCACACATAGACACACACACATTTTTCTTTCTCTCTTCTCTTTTTCTCTCTCTCTTCTTTCTCTCTCTCGTTCCCCAAACACGCTATGGAAAAGTGCTTCTCTCTCTCTCTCTCTCTCTCTCTCTCTCTCTCTCTCTCTCTCTCTCTCTCACCTCCCCACCCTCATCTCCTAGTACAACCAGAACTCCAAGAAGTTCTTCCCCTGTGGTTCCTGAGCGCTTAGCAGCCCTGACCCACTCACAGTTACTCACGGTTACGGCCAACACCGGCGGACACGCTCTGGGGAAGTTCTCAGAGTAGCCAGGGCCAACCTGGCTTGAGTAGTTAGTTCTGGGCACATGCTACCTGGAGACAGGGCTCTCCGCCAAGAGGGAGGGGCAAACCTGCCGGGCAGCTGGCCGTGGGCTGGGATATTCTTTCCTGAACATCAACAACAGTCACAGAATATCAACAAACACCAGACAAGGCCACGCTGTGACCGTGTTGGAACCCAGATAGAGACAAGGCCAAAATTTTTTTTTAATTGTTTTGAATGCATGGTCTGTCTCCCAAGGAACACCCAAGCTGCCGCTTCTAGACTCTGGCCTGAGATAAGCATCCCCCAAATACGAATTTGCGGGGCTGGAGCAATAGCACAACGGGTAGAGCGTTTGCCTGGCACACGGTCAACCCGGGTTCGATTCCCAGCATCCCATAGGGTCCCCTGAGCACTGCCAGGAGTAATCCATGAGTACAGAGCGAGGAGTAACCCCTGTCAACATCACCAGGTGTGACCCAAAAAGCAAAAAAACAAACAAACAAACATATGAACTTGCTCCCCAAGTCTTTTCGCTTTTGTTTTGGAAGCCATACTTACTCAGCAGTGCTCAGGAGTTACTCCTGGCTTTGCACTTGGGAATTACTCCTGACAGTGCTTGGGGAGCCCTATGGAATGCTGGGGATTGAACCCAGGTTGGCCATGTGCAAGGCAAGCACCCTCCCCTTTGGGTACTACCGATCCAGCCCCTGCTCCCCAAGACTGTTTTTTTCTTTTTGAGGGGAGGCTTTCGGACCACACCTGGCGATGATGCTCAGGGGCTACTCCAGGCTCTGCACTCAGGAATTAGTCCTGACAGTGCTCAGGGGACCATATGGGATGCCGGGGATCGAACCCAGGTCAGCCACATGCAAGGCAAACACTCTCCCCACTGTACTGTTCCTCTGGCCCCCTCCCCAAGTCTTGATCGTACCCACCAGTTTTCTCTTCTACTTTCTTTAAAACCAGCCGGGGGGTGGGGTATGATGCCGCCAGCGGTCAATCTGTACCTGTGAGGCGAATGCATCAACAGCCTGATGGCGCCTTCAGACTTCCAGATACCCCCAAATTGCTGCTGTGCCTTTGGCCAGACCCCAAAAACTTGGGGCAAAGTTTACCAAGAAAGTAAATGGCTAAAAGTTAGGTATGTGGGAAACACACCCACAAACCACCTCCGGCTCAGCTATATAATTGGAGGCAAGGCCTCTCTGGTTCCTGATCGAACTGCTTAATGGCCATGATCCCAGAGACTCAGAGACAAATCTCAAAACCCAGCGGCTTTTGGCAGAAATGTATCTGGACCCCGCAGTAGGTTACTGTCGCCAGGCCTCCTCAGGAGGGAAAGGATGCTGTCCCTCTACCTGCTTTCCTCTGGTGGTTCAGTGGCCGTCATCCTTCAGAGGCCATTGGACAGTCAGGCTTGGGCCCTCAGTGACGAAACTTGTTGGGCCTCACGGGATGAGGGTGGAGCCGGTTCTGTCCTCCCCGTCCCAATGAGACCCCAAGTCATCGTCCACGAACAGCCTCTCTGCCTCCTGATCAAGCTGCTTAACGGCCATGATCCCAGAAACTCAGAAACAAATCTCGAAACCCAGCAGCTTTTGGCAGAAATGCGTTGAACCCCACAGTAGGTTACTGTTGCCGGGCCACCCCAGGGGGGGATAGGGTGTTGTTCCTCTGCCTGCTTCCCCCTGGCGGCTCAGTGGCTGTCATCCTTCAGAGGCTATTGGACAGTCAGGTTTGGGCCCACGGTGATGAGACATTTTGGGCCTCACAGGTTGGGGGTGGAGCTGGTCCTGTCCTCCCCACCCCAATGAGACCCCAAGTCATCACTCACGAACGGCCTTTCTGGCTCCTGGTCAAGCTGCTTAACGGCCATGATCCCAGAGACTCAGGAGCAAACCTTGGAACCCAGCAGGTTTGGGCAGAAATCCCTCCAGATTTAAGTGTTAAAATTTTGGAATTTCAAAATCGCACGGCCACTACTGCAGCCATGCGACATCATATGTTATTCATAACCAGCAATAGAAAACGAATTGTCTACTGTTGCCTTTTCAGCAGATCTGAGTGTTGGGGTAAAATCTCAAATCATAATGGTGGGTCTGGTGTCAAAATATTGAATGTGATCAAAGTAGAGAGTGAGAAATGTGGAAATCATCTGCCCCACAGGTTGGGGGAGGGTGTGGGATGGGGCTATACTGGGGTTGTTGGTGGTGGAGAATGGGCACTGGTGAAGGTACGGGTGTTTCATTGTATGATCGAGACTTAGACCCGAAAGCTTTGTAACTGCTCTCACGGTGATTCAATAAATAAAATTATAAAAAATAAAAATAAAAAACCAGCCAGGGGCTGGAACGAGAAAGTACTACAAGGCAAGTACAACTTGCCTTGCACAAAGCAGACATAAGTTTGATCTCTGACATCCCATAGGTCTCCTGAGTACAGGCGTGATCTCTGAGCACAGAGCCAGGAGTAAGCCCTGAACACATACCTGGGTGTAGCCCCCTTCAAAAAAATTTTCAGGGGGCTGGAGCAATAGCACAGTGGGTAAGGCGTTTGCCTTGCATGCGGCCAACCCGGGTTCGATTCCCAGCATCCCACATGGTCCCCTGAGCACCGCCAGGGGTAATTCCTGAGCGCAGAGCCAGGAGGAACCCCTGTGCATCACTGAGTGTGACCCAAAAAGCAACTAAGGCATTGGTCTTACATGCAGCTGATCTGGGTTCCATCTCTGACATCCCATATGTTTCCTCAAACACCGCCAGAAGTAATTCCTGAGCACAGAGCCAGGAGTAACTCCTAGGCACTTCTGGGTGTGACCCCAAAACAACAGCCAACCCCCCCCAAAAATCCAGCCTGAGGAAAAGAGATGACGTTCAGTTTGGGGGGAGAAGGGGTGCATGCCTTGCATGTTCAAAGCCCTGGGTTGCATCCATGACATCTCCTGGCCCTTGAGCGCCACCTAGAAGAGGCTTAGTGGCCTCCTGATCACCCCGGTGAGTGCATCCCTAACCCCAAAAGAGCATTGCAGACCTGAATCCCATGAGTTTCTGCCACTACTTTTTTTTTTTTGCTTTTTGGGTCACACCTGGCAATACACAGGGGTTACTCCTGGCTCTGCACTCAGGAGTCACTCCTGGCGGTGCTCAGGGGACCCTATGGGATGCTGGGAATCGAACCCGGGTCGGCCGCGTGCAAGGCAGACGCCCTACCCGCTGTGCTATCTCTCCAGCCCCGCTGCTGGAGAGATGACCTTCTCTATAAGAAGTCACCAGCAGAGGTGACCCCTCTGCTGGTGACTTCTTATAGAACCACCTCATCCCATGATTCCTGGGGCTCTCGTTGTTGAACAAACTCTTTTTCTTGGGGGTGGGGTGGGGACTTGGGGTATTGGGAAGCTCCTGGTGATGCTTCGGGGGTGGATAATCATTGCTCAGGACTGAATTCAGGACTCCTGCATGCAAAGCCAGT